ATACCCACATGCAAAAGCATGAAACTGGACCAGTTTCTCACGCTATGTGTGTGTTTAGTCACTCAGTCGTGTCCGACTCTTTGTGACCCCATGGACTGTAGCCCACTAGGTTCCTCTGTCCATGGAATTCTCCAGGCAAGGATACTGGAGTGGGTTGCCATTCCCTTCTCCAGGGGGTCTTCCCAATATGGGGATCAAACCTGGGTCTCCTGCATTGTAGGCAGATTCTTTACCATCTGAGACACTAGGGAAGCCCGAAACAAAAGGTAATGTTTAAAAACAGAGACAATCTGCAAAAAATACCAGAGTTGGTTCTTTCAGTGTATGAATAGCAGAGACAAAGGTTGGGGGTGGGGTGGGGCAGGGAGGAAGATTGGCAAGAAAAAAAGATTTTGTGAGATTAAAGGTGGGGGAGGAAGAAATCAGGAGTAAAACAGAGAACTACAGATACAGTCAGAACTTTTTAAAAACCTTAAGTGAATATAAGTATTATGAACCTTGGACAAAATGGGCAGTTTCCTAAAAGTTGTAGCTTACTAAATCTGACCCAAGAAGAAATAGCAATTTTTCATACTACATGCAAAAATAAACTCAGAATGAATCCAAGACTTTTTTTTTCCAATCCAAGACCTAAATGTAAGACTTGAAATCATGAAACTCCTCAAAGAAAACATGGGCGGTACACTCTTTGATATAAGTCTTAGCAATATTTTTTGGCATCTGTCTCTTCATGCTAGGGAGATAAAAGCAAAATAAACAAATGGGACTGTATTAAACTAAGCAGTTGTCATACAGCAGAGGATGTGGCGGAAGTGATTTAGCATGCAAAAAGAGTAAAATACTTAGGAGTAATTCTAACTGCTAAATGAAGAGGCAGCCTGCTGAATGGAAGAAGAGAGTTGCAAACTATATGTTTATCAGATAATTGCTTACTGTACATAAAAAACTCATACCCAACCAAGTGGGCAGAGGACCGGAATAAATATTTTTCTGAAGAAGTCACAGTTGGCCAAGAAATACATGAAAAGATACTCAACATCACTAATCATCATGTAAATGCAAATCAGAACCACAATGGTATTGAATGGCTATCTGTCGCTCAGTCGTGTCCGACTCTTTGAGACCCTGTGGACTGTAGCCCACCATGGGAGTCTCCCGGCAAGAATACTAGAGTGGGTTGCTAGTTCCTTCTCCAGTGGATCTTCCCAACCCAGGGATCAAACCCAGGTCTCCTGCATTGCGGGCAGACGCTTTAACCTCTGAGCCACCAGGGAAGCCCATGTGACAAGTATTGGTGAGGATGTATACAAGGGGGAATTCTCATGCACTGTTTGTGGGTGTGTAATTTGGTGTATCCACTCTGTAAAACAGTATGGAATTTTCTCAAAAAAAAAAAAATAGAACTACTGTACAGTCCACCAATTTCAGTTCTAGGTATTTATACGAAGAAAAGAAAAGCAGTAATTTGGGGAAATGAAGCCCAGTATTCATTGTATTAATAGCATTATATACAGTCCCCAAGATATGGAAGTAACCTAAGTGTCCATTGATAGATGAAGGGACAAAGAAGATATGGTTTTATATATATACAATGGAAATTATTCAGCCATAAATACTTCTAAATCTTGCCATTTTCAATGATGTGGCTAGATCTAGAGGGTATCAAATAAGTGCAATAAGTCAGAGAAAGACAAACATTCTATGATCTCACTTATACGTGGAATCTAAAAATCAAAACAAATAAGCAAACAATATGAGAATAGATTCATAGATATGGAGAACAAATGGGTGTTTGCCAGAGGGGAGTGGAATGATGGGTTGGGTGAAATAGATGAAGGGAATTAAGAGGTGCAAACTTCCAATTATAAAATAAATAAGCCAGAGGATAAAATATACAGCATAAGGAATGTGGTATATAATTTTGTCATAACTTTGTACAGGGATGGTTGTATACTAGAATTATTGTGATCATTTCATAACAAATATAAATGTTGAATCACTATGTAGTTCACCTGAAACATAAAATTGTACATAATTATATTTCAGTTAAAAAAGGTAAAAACTATACGGTCAAATCATGTTAATATCCTGTTCACCAACAATCTTTTACTCAATGTTTTGTTATCCATTCATGAACTGTCCCTGAATCATTATTACATAAATGGTTACAAAACAGTAATTTTCTAATTTTGTCTTTTCCTTTACCTATATTTCCTCATGTATTTCTATAAAGAAGAGTTTTCTTTCCTTTTCACCTTTTTCAGCTTCTCTCTTCGTCTTCTCAAAGTATCATATGGACTCATGAATTTTAAAAAATCCACTATTCAGTGTGTTCTAATAAATTACCTACTTATCATTTTGACCCTTAAATTATCCTATATTTGTCTAGTGGGAGCCTTTTAACTGGTTGTCCTTTTATATACCTTCATTTGTTTTTGAACACTTTTCTTGCTTTCTGGGAGAACAAGGTATTCCAGATATGCCTTGTACTTTCTCTGTCCTTAAACCTGGGGTCAACTATTTCTGCAAGGAACTCCTTTTAGTGGAAAATTGTATATAGAAACCAAGATCTGATTGCAAGGCATGATAGCTTCTACTGAAGTGTTACTGCTTCAGGTCCTTTCAAAGGACAGAGCTAGAAAATAATATTTTTTGAAAAGTCATCATTTTATCCAAATGTTCTCAGTTCACATCTAGTGTCACAGAGATTTTCCTTACCTTCCCTCATTTTGTATTTGTATCTCTCTCCAGAAGAGAGCCCTGCTTTCCAACAGCACCAGTGTACTTCCTGATAAGCTCTGTTCTTCAGCTGGTATTGGGTTTCCCAGGTGGTTCAGTGGTAAAGAATCTGCTTGCCAGTACGGGAGATGCAGGAGACGTAGGTTCCATCCCTGGGTCGGGAAGATCCCCTGGAGGAGGAAATGGCAACCTACCCCATTCTAGTATTCTTGCCTAGAAAATCCCATGGACAGAGGAGCCTGGCGGGCTAGAGTCCATGGGTTGCAAAGAGCTGGACACAACTGAGCACACACACATGCTGTCAACACGCTCTAGCAGGCTTACTAAGGAAACTTAAGGGTTTCTTTGCAGTCTACTTTCTGTTCTTAGAATGCATCTTACTAAGGCTGTATACTCAGAATACTGTGTTTGAATTACTTGAATTCTTGCTTTTGATATATAGTTAGGGTTATTTGCTTCTGTTTTATTGTTTGAAGGTTTACTTTCTCATCCTTTTTGAAGTGTCATTCTCGTTTCTATCCCATCTACCCCATTGCCAACCATCCTCTAGAGGATGAGCATGAGGCTTTTAATATATGTCTGACTTCTGAATCATGTAAACATGTTTTGTAAAATTGAACTAAAAAAGAATGTTAATAAATGATGACTTGGTAGCCTTAGTAAGGTCCTTTGCCTTATGTCTGCTGTTAATGTTTCTGTAACAGCTTTCTTTGCTTGGTTTGTAGTTTACCTCATTGTCTTTTTCTAGCCCTTCAACTTCAACTTGTGCGTGCTTATTTTGTAAGTGATATGCGTACAGCTGGAGAAATTGATGTTAATCTAGGCAGTTTTGTCCTTCCTTGTATTTTTGAATTTTTCCTGCTAGCTTTTATTTTGTTTTGTTCTCCCTCTCCCTCACTCTGTTTTCTCTTTTGCTTTCTGTTGATTGTTAGTTTTACTTGATTTTCTCTAATTATTTGGAAGTGATAGCATTCTATATCTCTTCTTTTAATTTTTTTTTTCAAATTTTATTTATTTTCTTTTGGCTGTGCTGGGTCTTCATTACTGCGAGGGCTTTTCTCTAATCCGGGAGAGCAGGGGCTAATCTTCAGTTGTGGTGCAGGAGCTCCTCACGCAGGCTTCAGTCGCTGTGGCTCTGGGGCGCTAGAGCTCAGGCTCAGAAGTTGGGGTGCACAGGTTCCCATGGCATGTGGGACCTTCCTGGATCAGGGATCGAACTTGCATCTCCTGCATTGGCAGGCAGATTCTTTACCACTGAGCCAGCAGGGAAGCCCTTAATGGTCATTTGTAATGGACATTCTTGTCATCCTGTTAGTTTTGTAGTGAATATTCAGTCAAATCAACCATACCACTTTTTTACATGAACCACCAAAACAGGTTTGTTGAATCCTCTACTTTCATATTTATATTTTTAAACTCAAGCAAAGAAGATTATGTTTATTTTTTCAAATTTTACAATCTTAATTTGAGTAGTCTTATTCATGCAGTGTAAACAAAGGTTGATGGGAATCTGAACTCACCACAGCCTTTCTTTTATAGTCTGCTAGCCCTCAGCCCTGCTTCCCCACCAGAATATAATTATGATTATTGTTCTGTCCATTATGTCTAGAAAAGTAGATATGCATTAGCTTTCCCTTAACAGATAGATTAGTTGAGTGAATAAACTAGAAAGACAGTCTGGAGGAGAAGGTATGGGGTAATGGTTGGGATGGAGGGCAGGAGACATTATGGAACCATTCAGTCTGAAGGACGTGCAGTCCTTAATCGCTCTGAGATTCTATACTAAGTAGATTTAATACATTGCCATACTCATTTTACAGTCAGGTTTAGGCACATAGGTTAAGTTTCATTTTTCATCTTTGACTTGTAGATGATCTTAACCTTATGTGATCATTTAATAGCACAACACTCTGAATGGCCATTCACAGCCATCACTCTGTATGCCTCCCAAGTAATTCCAAATGTCCTGCTGTTTTCAGTTTTCTGTTTGGACAAATTAGAAAGCAGGTAAACCAGTTGTAGGGTTCTCATATTTTATCTTTCCTATAGCAAAGCAAACTGGGGGAAGCAAAGTACATATTTTCTCTGAATTTTGTTTCTGAATTTTCACTTGATTATAGAATTATCTTAGTTTTATTTAGATATTTATTGGGAGTGATATGCAAATTGGGACAAGGAAAATATAATTTTATTAGCACCTGGAAATCTACATTAGTGCCATGAATGCTTCTTATGATAAAAATCTCTTCTCTTTCTCTTAGGGCTGCTGCTCAGAGTAAATTAGGTCACTACACAGATGCAATAAAGGATTGTGAAAAAGCAATAGCAATTGATTCAAAGTACAGCAAGGCCTATGGGAGAATGGGGTAAGTTATGGAGAATGTTCAAAGTACTACCAGGTAGTATCAGATATGCTGTTCTTAATGGCTTGGTTTTGAATTTCCTGCTTCATATGCACCCTCTGGACTAATAAGATAAATATAACATTGAGGGAGGAAATGACTGCAATTCTGTCTTGGGGGGGAGATGATTAGTGTATGATGAATGGGTGGTTGTTGGAGAAAATCATAACAACCATACTGAGTAGGCCTACTTCATATTCAAGGTTACAAATCTCAAGCACACAGTATTTTGGCAGCTAATCCTACTATACTTCTAAATTCACCTTACCCCTCTCTGAGTTGACTGTTTCATACATACTCTTTTCAAATTTTCACTGTATGTTCCAGGTCCTTGCAACCTTTTACTAAACTGATAAAATAGATGCATTTAGAAAAAAATTCACCTTCTTAACTTGCAAATCCACCAGTTTACCCACATGTGTATTTGCACAGATAGCCGTTTTTTCCTATTCAAATGGAAGGGGTATTATCTAAGACTAATGCATTCACTCATGCTTTAGATCTCATGCGTTTGGACCAAGGACTTTACATTTGTAATCTTCTCCTGTATCTCCTACAACACCAGTTTCCCCATGTCTAACAGTGATGATGACTACATGTGAAAAGATCATAAAAAATCATCTGTTAGAACCATCCTTTTACCCAGCGACATCATTCCTCTGTTCCTCTTTCTCTGCAGAGCCCCTCATAGTTGTCTGTACTTGCTGTCTGGTCTTCATCATCTCTTACTCTTTCAGCTCACTCCAGTAGGACATTTATCTGTATCACTCTGTTGAGAACTCTATTCAAGGTCACCAGTTGTCTGTATTTTTCCAAGGTCAGTATTCAGTTCTGTATTCTCATCCTACCCCATCTTTTAGTATGTGGCATGATTTTTTTTTTCTTTTTTTGCTGTACTGCACGGCTTGTGGGATCTCAGTTCCCCCACCAGGAATTGAACCCAGGCCAAGGCAGTGAAAATGTTTAGCCCTAACCACTGGTCAATCAGGGAATTCCAAGGATTAACTTCTTTTTGAAATACTTCATTTTCTATACCTCTGGGACACCATGCTTCCTGGTTTTCCTTCTACTTCACTGGATGTTCTTTTTCAGTCGCTAATACTGGTTCTTCCTCCTCTGCCTCCTCTAAATAATGATATGCTACAGGGCTCTTTCCTTTGCTGCTGCTCTCTCTCTGTTTATATTTTCTCTCTGATTTCATCCTGTCCCATGTTTTAAAATTTCATCTGTTGTCAATACTCTGTATTAATGGATCCAAATCTGTACTCAGTATGCTTTGTGGGCATCTGCTGAATGGCGAAAATCTTGTCACCTGATGTACAAGATCTCAGTTGAGGTCAGATAAGGCAGTGCTCAATCTTTTTTGTTTCAGCTCTCATGCTCTAAAATGAGTATCTTTTTCACAGTCTAGTTAGTGCTATATTTTTTGCATGTTTGTGTTTTTATTTACAGTGGCTGCCCAGACATAGGCTGAAGTGTTGGCTAGTGTTTCTGTGTGCAAGGAGGCTGTAGTGTGCCTCACCAAGAAAATACCTGAGTTAGATAAGCTTTGTTCAGGCATGAGTTAGTACAATTGACTGTGAATCAATTACATAAGGTTTCTTTAAACAGAAACACACATAAAAACAAGTTGTGTATTGATTGGTTGATGAAAATGTTGTGACCAGAGGCTCACAGGAACATAACATTACATTTCCCCTAGGAGCAATTGTTCAGTGTTTGCTAATTTAGTGTTTGCAGTGTCCTTGTAGCGCATAATTACTATAGATAATGAAAATCAACTGTATATGTTTATGGATCTCTTAAGTTATATGTCTAAACTCCATACTCATATAATCAGCTCTTTTTCATCTCCACTTAGATTTTTAATAAACATTTAAACTTAACATGTCCCAAACAGAACTCCTGTTCCCTTAAATCCTTCTCCTTTCAGTAAATATACTGTCATTCTACCTACCCATAACTTCGTTCAAAACCCTTGGAATCATCCTTCATTCCTATTATACCTGACACATCTAACCTATCAGGATGTCCTACGAATTCTATTTTCCACATATTTTTTGAATTCAAGCATTGATTGCTGTCTTGTTTACAACTCTAGTCCAAATTACCATCTCTTATCTAGGCTACTGCAGTAGCCTCCTAACTCATTTCCCTGCGTTCTCTCTACTCTCTCCACCCACGTCGATCCTCTGCAGAGAAGCCAGAGTGAGCATTTTAAAGCATAAATCAAATTATGTCATTCTATTGCAACCAGGATAAAATCCAGACTCCAAATCGTGGTCCCATAGTACTCCCTGACATCATCTCTTCCCACACTTTGTTTTCAGTGCTCCCACCTCAGCCTTTGTCCTTTTCCTTAAGCATACTAAACTTGCATCATTCTCAGGGCCTTGGTGTTCATTGTTGCTTCTATTTAAAATGTTTCTCCTCTAATTTGCTTATGACTGCTTTCTTCTCATTGTTTAGTGCCCCTATTCATTCTCTTTAATATTATGTTTTTTTATTTGCATGTTTATTGCTTGTCCTCCCCTGATAGAATAAAATTTTCTTAAACCCAAGAACTTTACCATTTTCACTGAGGAATAAAATAATGCCTGGTACATAGTACGATTCCAATAAGCATATATTGACTTAATTAATTGAGGATTGTGATAAAGTATCTTTCATGATTTGGAGAATACTAATTAGGTTCAGAGATTTTCCTCTATGATTAGGCATTATATTTTATATAGATCAGAAGTCTGTGAGGTAAGTGAGTCAAGAAAGAATTGGAGTAGTTTGTTAAAAATAAACTTAGAAAAATAAAACCCTCAATACTCTCTCCATATACACCATTAGTTTTTAGTTCTGAAATAATTTTCCAGTAAATAAATCCTAACTAGGTAGAGGAAAACATTAAATTTAGTAATTAACTCTTTGACTTGTGCCTGGGATGATGTGTGTTATTTGAGGCATAAGGATTGCCAGTTTTATCTATTAAAAAACCAACATGTCTTATTCAAGAGTAGTTAGCTGACACGTCACAGCTTACTTTTTTAACTTTTTATGGTAAAGTGATATTTATTGTGGTTCAGTGTCTCTGTTAAGAAGGAAGAAAGTGGGCCGTAGTGAAGGACAAATTTAGTTTGGAGTTCTTAAAGTAGTTTTAGCATCATGCAGTTATATGACTACAGAACTGTTAGTCAGCTCACATTTTTGTGTAGCTTAATCATTCATAAAGCAAATTAGTTCACACAGTAAGCTTAAAAGTGGAAGGGTATGTAAGATTCATTTCTAATCATTACGTTTTTTAAAAATTTATTTTTAATGGAAGGATGATTGCTTTACAGTGTTGTTGGTTTCTGCGTTCATCAACATGAATCAGCCACAGGCATACATGTGACCTCCCTCCCACCTGCCACCCACCCACCCCGCTAGAATGGCACAGAGCCCCGGTTTGGGTTCCCTGAATCGCACTGCAGATTCCCACTGGCTCTCTGTCTTACGTATGGTAGTGTATGTGTTTTCCTGCCGCTCTCTCCATTCGCCCCACTCTCTCCTTCCCCCACCCCTGCCATATTCACAAGTCTGTTCTCTGCGTCTGTGGCTCCACTGCTCCCCTGCAAACAGGTTCATAAGTACCATCTTTGTAGATTCCTTATATATGTGTGAATATGATATCTGTTTTTCTCTTTCTGACTTACATCACCCTGTATAATAATTTCTTTTTAAAAAATAATTTTTTTATTGAAGTATAGTTGAGTCACACACGACTTAGCAACTAAACAATAGTTGATTTACAATGTTGTGTTCGTTTCAGGTGTATAGCAGTGATTCAGTTCAGTTCAGTTCAGTCGCTCAGTCGTGTCCGACTCTTTGTGACCCCATGAATCGCAGCACGCCAGGCCTCCCTGTCTGTCACCAGCTCCCAGAGTTTACCCAAACTCATGTCCATTGAGTTGGTGATGCCATCTAACTACTCATCTTCTGTCGTCCCCTTCTCTTCCTGCCTTCAATCTTTCCCAACATCAGGGTCTTTTCAAATGAGTCAGCTCTTCGCATCAGGTGGCCAAAATATTGGAGTTTCAGCTTCAACATCAGTCCTTCCAATGGATATTCAGGACTGATTTCCTTTAGGATGGACTGGTTGGATCTCCTTGCAGTCCAAGGGACTCTCAGGAGTCTTCTCCAACACCACAGTTCAAAAGCATCGATTCTTCAGCACTCAGCTTTCTTTATAGTCCAACTCTCACATCCGTACGTGACTGCTGGAAAAACCATAGCCTTGACTAGACGGACCTTTGTTGGCAAAGTAATGTCTCTGCTTTTTAATATGCTGTCTAGGTTGGTCATAACTTTCCTTCCAAGGAGTAAGCATCTTTTAATTTCATGGCTGCAGTCACCATCTGCAGTGATTTTGGAGCCCCCCAAAATAAAGTCAGCCACTGTTTCCCCATCTATTTCCCATGAAGTGATGGGACCAGATGCCATGATCTAGTTTTCTCAATGTTGAGCTTTAAGCCAACTTTTTGACTCTCCTCTTTCACTTTCATCAAGAGGCTGTTTAGTTCTTCACTTTCTGCCATAAGGGTGGTGTCATCTGCATATCTGAGGTTATTGATATTTCTCCCAGCAATCTTGATTCCAGCTTGTGCTTCTTCCAGGCCAGCATTTCTCATGATGTACTCTGCATATAAGTTAAATAAGCAGGGTGACAATATACAACCTTGACATACTCCTTTTCCTATTTGGAACCAGTCTGTTGTTTCATGTCCAGTTATGTAGTTATATGTGATTCACTTATACATACATAAATATTTATTTTTTGTTGTTGCTCTATTTTGGTTTTTTGTTTTGGCCATGCTGCACAGCTTGCAGAATCTTAGTTCCCTGACCAGCGATTAAACCCAGGCCCTCAGCAGTGAAACCACTGGGCCACTAGGGAATTCTAATCATTACATTCTTGATTCATGTAGGACAACTGAGGTTGGCACCAAGCAGAATGGAGAGAATCCAGACTTACAGAATCTTGGAGTTAAAAAGAAGTGATACTCCTGTGAACCATACTATAGTTGATCCTTGAACAATGTGGATGTTAGGAATACTGACCCTCTGCATTCAAGAATGTGCATGTAACTTAGTCAACTGTTGTATCCACAGTTCCTTCACATCTATGGTTCCTCTGTGTCTGCAGATATAACCAACCTCAGATTGTACAGTACTATATAGTATTTACTGTTGGAAAAAATTTATGTGTAAGTGGGTTTTTGCTATTCAAATCCATGCTGTTCAGGGGTCAACTGTACAATGAATAAATAAAGTGTGATCTGGACTCAAACTGAATACCAAGATAGACTTTGATGACATTTGTGGTGTCCTGATGTTCTTCAGTCATATAGCTTATACTCTCAAAATGTATTCTTTTCAGGCTGGCCCTCACTGCCATGAATAAATTTCAAGAAGCAGTTACAAGTTATCAGAAGGCATTAGATCTTGACCCTGAAAATGATTCCTATAAATCAAATCTGAAAATAGCAGAACAGAAGTTAAGAGAGGGATCTAGTCCTGTAAGTTACTAATGCCAAATAAGTGAAATATTTTATCATTCACAATTATCAAATTGTAGTGTTTAAGAGTAATTTTCAGATATAATTGTTTTACAGACAGGAACTGGACTGAGCTTTGACATGGCTAGCTTAATAAATAATCCAGCCTTCATTAGTATGGTGAGTATATTTCCTTTTCTGCTTTGCTGGCTCTATTTCCCTTTAGAACTATATAGTTCCAAAGTTTTTAGAAACAAGTAAGAGAGCTTTTGCGATGGCAGTGGTAGCAGTGGTGGTATGTTATCACTGAAGTTTTTAACCTACTCATGCACTGTTTTGTGAAAAAGCCATGGGTGAACTTCAGGAAGCCCATGGATTCCTTGGAACTATAGATGAAACTTTGTATGCCTATGGATATGTGCGTTTTTCTAGGGAGAGAATCATATTTTTCATGAGATTGGCAAAGGGATCTGCAAATCTACAGAAGGCTAAAAAATACCCTCTTAGGTGAAAGTGACCCTAGGAAGGTATCTAGTATTTGAAGTCTGAGGATTTTGGCTATTGTGGTTTCCTAAGCTCTTTTGGCTTTTTTTGTCTGATCAGTAGGAGGAAGTAAAGTGCTGCCAATATCCTTAGTTTATAGTGTTTGTAATCTCTTTATTGTGCAATGTAATGTTAATACCATTTTTCCTAGTACCTCCTCTTTTTTACATTCCCACTCACTTTGTATAGCACACCAAATCTCTGTAAAATGTTAGTATATACATGATCTAGCTTCTCTCTGCTTGAAAAAGAAAAACTTTTTAAAAGATCCCTAAATATTAACTGCCTTGGATGAGAGATACCATTTTTCAATTCTAGGCAGCAAGTTTAATGCAGAATCCTCAAGTACAACAGCTGTAAGTATACAGAAAGAGTATATTACATTTCTCCCTTCCACTTGTCAGGCTCCTAGTTTGAGCACAGTAGCTCCAAAATGATACCTAATTGTCAGTCAATTGGCACTTAAAGTCACACTCATCTGGCCTACCCAATGTGGGTATGTCTACCTGCTTTCCTTGGCTGGTATTCTGCCTGTTAAAAATATATGCCAATTCATTGAAAAAGACACATGTACCCCAATGTCTGTTGCAGCACTGTTTACAATACCTAGGACATGGAAGCAACCTAGATGTCCATCGACATATGAATGGATGAAGAAGTTGTGGTACACATATACAATGGAATATTAGTCAGACATAAAAAGGAATGCATTTGAGTCATTTCTAATGTTGTGGATGTACTTGGAGCGTGTTATACAGAGTGAAGTTAGAGAAAAAAAGCAAATGTTGTGTATTAACACAGATATATGGAATCTAGAAAAATGGTACTGATGAACCTATTTGCAGCATAGCAATAGAGGCAGACACAGAGAAGAGACTTGTGGACACAGTGGAAGAAGGAGAGAGTGGGATGAATGGAGGGAACAGCATGGGAACATATACATTACCATATGTAAATAGATAGCCAGTGGGAATTTGCAAACTTGGGTGCTCTGTGACAACATGGAGAGGTGGGATGGGGTGGGAGGTGGAGGGAGGTTCAAGAGGGGGGGACATACGTATCCCTATGGCTGGTTTCATGTTGATGTGTGGCAGAGACCAACACAACATGATAAGTCAATTATCCTCCAACTTAAAATATTTTAAAAAAAGAATATATGCAAATTTGATTTATCTCTTGCCTACTCTAGAATGTCAGGAATGATGACAAATGCTATTGGGGGGCCTGCTGCTGGTGTTGGGGGCCTAACTGACCTGTCTAGCCTCATCCAAGCGTAAGTTGTATTTAGAATAGAAATAGTTAAAAAAAAAAAAAGGTATTTTATGTTTTACAGTTTGAGTACTTTATGTTTTACCATTTGTCTCTAAGGTAAGGGGACCAAGGCTTTCTTTTTAAATTTTTATCTTTCACTGTTAATCAATGACCTCATTAGTTATTAAATTTAGAAGTGGTTCATAAATTGAAATTTTCTGCCTGAAGGGCAGGTGTCCAGAAGATTGGATCCAAGAAAAACTTTTTAAGCAAATCAGATGACAAATATCTACTTAATGAGTTTTATGTACACATATGTATTTAAAAATCATATATTGCATAGGATTTAGGATACTTTAATTCAGACTTTTGCAGTGCATGTCATTGCTAAAGGAACTCATTTTATTTTCTCATTATTTGAACACATTACTTCTACCTCCATCCAAGTTGCTTAGGCTACTGTGCTTTTTGAATCTGTGTGATGCTGTTACTGGAAATGTTACATGAAGTGACAGATATCATTTTTTGCTTGTGATCACAACTGTGTAAACCCACTTGCAATATGGCATTTTTAGAGTGATCTTTAAGTGGCATGATTTTAGTGATACCGAACACTTGCAATTGGGAGGTTCACACTCAGTAGTTTGGATTAAATCTCTGCCTTTAGAAAACTCAGTTGTTACGTGACTTCATAAGCATTCTCAAATAGGTGTGACACCTGCCATATGAGACTGACTTGATTACAAGAACAAATACCTTGCATTATATTTGCACACATATAATAAAAGGCATATTCTTTTTAGCCCTTCATGTGTCTGTGGTTAGGCACTGGGTGGGGGAGGGGTGGATTTCACTCAATTCAGGAACTCACTTGTTAGCTTGGGTGTTTGATTTCTCACAAAGAACACTGCAGTGTATTAATGGTATATGGGGGTGCTGGTACACTTGCAGATAAGTCATGAATCTAAAACTTGTTTTTATAGAAAGCATTCCCTTTGGGTAGTATGCACATCGTTTGCAGTTCTTTTTGTGTTGGTGTTGTGTGGTTGGAAATTCCCTAACTCATACTACTTTTTCTTTACTGCAGGGGACAGCAGTTTGCTCAGCAGATACAGCAACAGAACCCCGAACTCATAGAGCAACTCAGAAATCACATCCGGAGCAGGTCATTCAGCAGCAGCGCTGAGGAGCACTCCTGACCCGACCGGGCCAGCCAGAGTGCAGCTGGCGATGGCCCGCAAGTGTCCGCTGTAGATAGTGGCCAAAACAAAACAGATCTAACACATACTCTGTCTAGACAATAGGTGTATCACAAACAGATAACATAACATGGCTGTGTTATGTTGACTTGACCATAACATGATTCCTTTGTAAGCAGGTGATCCGTAGCCTTGTTAAGTGCCAGTATAGCACTTAACTGGACACGGTTCCATTTTCAAATCTTCATTGTATTTGTATACTAGACTTAATAGCAGAGTATATTTATTGAACAGTAGGGCTGTTTACTGGTGAGTTCTCTAGCACCAAATTCCCATAAGCAAACTTTTTGAAAGGGGAGATAACTAAGAGGAAAGGATTCTCATGCTGATTTAGGAGAAATATACTTGCCACTGAGTAGCGTCTTTGGAGAAGAAATTCGTTCCTGGGTTTAGCTTTGATAGTGCTATCAGTAGTGAAGATATGACAGGGGCCAGTACTGTCTTTAATGCTGCTTACTTTGTTGGGTGACAGAATCTTAAGAGCTGGTGGAAAGCAGTATTCGGTGTTGTTTAGGAAAGGAAAAAATAGATGCTGTGAATGTATAGAAAGTGAATGTAGGGTGCTCAGGTTCTTTGCATAGTTCTTAACTAATCTTGCCTACAGTTTGGTATAGATAACATTAGCATGGCCACTTATGCTAAGTACATAATAAAATACATTTAGAAATCCTTAATAATATTCGTTAGGTCAGTTGTATAACTATTCAATTCCACTAGCACAATTTATCTAGTGACCTTACCATGGAAACTTTCAAATATATCTACATTTAAATAAGCCAATAGCTTGGCACTTAAGGATTTCCTAAGTGGCATTTAATTATGTGCCTGCAGACACTGATTTTTTAAGCTTGTAATTATGTGACAGGTCACAAAAAGTATCTGTCATTAACACTTCTTGTTCATGCTCATCCTCTGCTTTAATTTGGCTTGGCATGTCACTTCTATGCTTCTTCTTAATTTGATGCAGCTTAAACATAACAGGGAACTTGAAATATTGTACTGAAATTAGAATACATATTAGTTAGTGAAGAGAAGTGGCATTAAGTATTGGAATGTCTTTAACTAGAGTGATGGATGAGGCTGTTCTAATTCTAGTTGAAATTTCTTTGGCTTGTTAATTATAAAATTGGTAAAGCTGGTGGACACATAATGAATTTCACAAGTGTTGTGAAAGAAAACTGAAACAGCAATACAAAATTAAATCAGTAATACTGATGACTGATTTAATTTTGTATTACTATAACTCTTCATCTCAAAAGGCTAATTACTTGGTATCTTAAAATTTAAAAACCTACTTTCCCTTCTTTCCCTTTGTTGGATTAGAACAGTTCGATAATTTTACTGTAAGAATCAGCTTGGAATTCATTAAAAAATCCAGATTCAGGGGCATACTTTTCAACTTTATCAGGTCCTATATAATGAGGTCTGGGAATCACCATTTCACACAGCACACCAAGTGGTTCTGATGTAGGTCCCAAGGGCTCTTGTTGAAAGGGCTCTTGCTTTTGTTGAAAGCAACACTAGGTTAGAGATTTCTCCTCTTTTAGGTCAGCAAATATCTAAAATGCCTGGGCTCAGGATACAAGGAAGAGCTACATGAACCTACAGTTCTTTTCCAGGGAAAATTAGGACTTAAGCCTTCTGAATTGTCTCCTATATTGCACTTAAATGAACTTGGGTGCTGATCTAGTGGTTAAGACACCATACTTCCAATGCAGAGGATGCTGGTTCAATCCCTACTCAGGGAACTAAGATTCTGCCAGCCTACAGTGTGGGCAAAAAAAAAAAAAAGTCAATTCTTGCTGGTGTTGCATAAGAAAAGGTTCCTAGCATAATTATCTTGAACGCATTACAGATGCTTTCAAATTGATAAAACTGGTAAGCCTCTGAGTAGGAAAATAAAGAGAATATGAATCAACAGTAAGAGAAGTGAAAGAAGGGATATCACTGCAGACCATGTAGACAATTAGATAATTAGACAATTAGATAATTAGAAAATACTATGATCAACTATAGGTCCATATCCATGAAACAGGCAAATTCTTTAAAGATACAAACTACCATAACCGACTGAAGAAATAAGGTTCCTCCTGAAAACCACAGGCCCAGACAATTTCAATGGTGAATTCTACCAAACACTTAATATTAAATCTACACAATCTCTTCCAGCAGAAGAGGAAACACTTCCCAACTTCATTTTATTTTGCCAACTTTGATACCAACATCAGACATTATAAGCAAAAATACTTACAATGTCTTTACTAATATCTGTAGGTAAAGTAGCCATTCTTTTTACATGAAGGAATGTGAATTGGTTGTATTTCTTCCATTTCATGTTTCTCGTTTGTTTCTTTTCTAATGTATCTCCCATAACACATCTAGGTAATGTATCCACTGACCTGGATATCCATTCTATTCAAGCCACTTTTGCTTTTTAAGTACTTTCATCACTTTGAAATTACTCCATTGCATGCTATTTCAAGAAGGTTTTGTGTAGCTGTATTGTGTTAGCTACTCTTAAAATTATAAAGAATGCTCCAAAAGTTATTTTGCTTGTCTGAAACAAGAGGGCATTAAAGTAAATCTTTATATACATTCTACTTAGGAATGATTGATTTCCATTAACCACTTTTCATTATAGTAGCTGTAATTGTTATGATGCTATGTAAAATTTTTTATTGTTGTTCGGTCGCTAAGTCATGTCTGATTCTTTGTGAACCCATGGACTGTAACACGCCAGGTTCCTCTGTCCTTCACTATCTCTTGGAGTTTGCTCAACTTTATGTCCATTGAGTTGGTGATGCTATCTAACCATCTCATCCTTTGCTGCCCCCTTCGCCTTTTGCCTTCAATCGTTTCCAGCATCAGGGTCTTTTCCATTGTAAATGTAAAATTTACAATGTCCTTTGTATGCAAATGACATTTCTACTTAATGTACCAAATTGTTTATCTAATTTTTATAATATGGTTTACAGATCCTTTCTAAGATGACATTATGTAACCTTTACTTAGCGAAGGAACAATATGTGTCTAGGTTATTGCTTATAAAAAAGGGAGTCTTAGCAGAATCCCAAGGGACCATCATATGTTAGTTTTAAAATTTGAATGGAGTGAAACAGAAGGTTCAGTCATGAGAAGACACCTTGAAAGCTACTGAAGTATCCAGTGCAGGGGCTATAAAGTCTTATTTCATCATTTAATCAACTGTACTCATTTTGGAGAAAAGACTGTCTTTGGACAAAGACAATTTTACACTGCTTGCACTTTATTTTGCACGGACGTTTCATTAATTACCTCTTCAATTTAAGGGCAAATCTCATTCTGAATACAGCTTTCATTTTGGACCAAACAATTTGTCATGGCAATAAATAATTATGCATTTAAGAAAAACCAATTTTTGTATTTGACTTAATGCATTTACATTTAAGCAGTTATATACACATGCTTGAATTTCAACTTGTTTTTATTTAACAGGGTTAGTTTTTGTTTTGTTTCAAAATACTGAAACTTTTATTACATCCATGTTGCAAAGTTGTTTATAGTCTTAATTTCCTCACTGTTTTGTATATGACGTAAGTAAATTAATGTGATTACATGCAGAAACAGTTTTGTAATAATAATACATGACGTAGAGTTCAAAATCAAGTATCAGAAGCTGGAAATCCTTTAAGTATGCCCTTAAAAAAAAAGTGGTTTATTTTTCAATGGGGAAAAAACAGGACTTTCTTGGCTTAGAATTAGAAAATGATCAGGCTTCTTAGCTTAGAGTTATCAGAGTAATTGACAGTTTAAGAAATAAATTCTGATCTGCTTTTAGTAACTGAAAGTTAGATGTGTGTGTATGCACACAAAAATACAGATGCCAATATGATAATTTTGAAAACAACTAGAAAAATTCATACTGTGATAGCAAATACAAGATTATATGAGGACCACCCCAGTTGTTTTAAACTTATTTTGTTGACTGAGGAAAAAAGCTGGGGTTAACGAAAATACTTCTAAATAAAGTATGATGAGAATTCTAAAGTTTTAAGAAACAACTGTATCTTCTATATTGAAGTCAGCAAACTACGGCCTGCAGGTCAGATCTGGCCAGCTGCTCGTTTTTGTAAATGCTGTGGTACAATTTCTGCCTGAAGTGAAAGTCGCTCAGGCGTTTCCGACCCTTTGCAACCCCATGGACTGTAGCCTGCTAGGCCCCTTTGTCTATTGAGTTCTCCAGGAAAGGATACGGGAGTGGGTAGCCATTCCCTTCTCCAGGGGATCTTCCTGACCCAGGGATTGAACCTGGGTCCCCTGCATTGCAGGCAGATTCTTTACTGTCTGAGTCACTAGAGCCTACTGGCTGCTTTTGTATTATAACCACAGAGTAATTTCAACAGGAAACCTCATGGCCCGCAAGGTCTAAAATATGAAGTATCTGGTCCTCTACATGAAAAGTTTACTGACCATTGTTCAAGATACCTGCTAGGGACACATGGCCTCAAATATAGAGCTTTTGGAGAACAAAGTCCAGTGGTCATTTAAAGTGAAACAAAATCACATGTGTGTAGAAAATATACAAATGTTCATTTGGAATATAACACAAGATAAAATCAGTAGATGGTTCTTTTCAAAACAAATATTTAATATTTTAACTTTTATAGGAAAGAAATTTAAATAACATACTTATTTTTACTGTTGATCATTTTACAAAGGTGGCAAAAATGCAGAAAATTCTGGGCAACTCAATGAAAAGTGTAACATTGGACATTTTCTTCAACTTTCCACTTTAATGGCCGAAGATACCACACAGACTTGTGCGATGTCATCATATTCGTATGTTCTCTTTAAGAATGTGTCTGTTAGTCTTAAGCCAGAGACGCTCTATTGAGAGAAAAATATAGAAACAAGTTTTCATTCATTGGTAATGACCAGAGAAAGAATGGATATAATAAATGACTATGGGTTAATAGCCGCTAAATATTGAAATTACTGAAAAGAGAGCATACTTGCAGTCCTTGTACTGAAGACAGTAGTGTGAGGGCAAGGCAGAGAGAGGAACTTGGATGGAGCTTTCCAAGTTGTCTTCCTGAAATGCCACACCAGTGGATAGAATTGGTATTGCACATTTCCAAAACTAGATCCATTGTTCTTTCACTGCTGGAGGAATCAGAAAAATAGGAATAAATCTTGTTCCTTTCACAAAGGGATACTGGAATATTTCTAAATCACATTTCGAAAACAAGATCCATCGTTCTTTCATTGCTGGAGGAATCAGAAAAACAGGAATAAATCTTGTTCACAAAGGGATACTGCAATGTTGCTAAAGCACTATTGCCAGTGACTTTCTTTTCATGGTATCCAGCTGCAAACCAGGAACAGAAATGAAAATCCATCATATCATTTTTATTTCACTTAAGACAGAATCAGGAAAATGAAAGATGGTTTTGGTCTGGAGTTTACAGTAGCACTAAGACTAATCTGCCTGTCTGGATGCAGGCCTTCTGGTTCTGTTACTGAACACTGGCTCCCTGACGCTCATCTGTTAAAAACAGTTTGGCCTTCTCTGGGAGACTTCCAGACATCTGTGTCTAATTTTGTTGCTATGTATCCTTCCAATTTCTGTTAGATGCTCTGTAGGAAAGAGAATGAAAAACAGGCTGGTCCAGTGCTTTTTCTATTTAATCTATGTTCCTTTACCATGCAGTGTTTGCTCAGTCACTTCAGCTGCGTCCGACTCTTTGTGACCCTATAGACTGTAGCTCGCCAAGCTTCTCTGTCCATGGGATTCTCCAGGCAAAAATACTGGAGTGGGTTGCTGTGCCCTCCTCCAGGAGATCTTCCCTACATAGGGATCAAACCCGTGTCTCCTGCACTGCAGGAAGATTCTTTACCCACTGAGTCACCTGGGAAGCCCTTACCACGCAGATAACATAGCAAATGACTGGCAAGATTTACAAGTAAAACTATTCAGGTATTCACTTGACATGAAAAAGACTGCTTCTCCTTATAATTGATACCACCAGTTCAATTAAACTTATTAAGTTAAAAAAACACTTTTAGTGAAGGTATGTGCATTGTTTTTAAAACAAAACAAAACCAAAAGTTTCATAATGAAAAATGGTCTGCTACTCTACCACCATGCTTGACTTGCTTTCAACTCTTTAAGCTCTTTTTCTCTCCTTAGCTGGCTCCACATTTAAAATACTCATTTAAAATTTAAATTTTAAACTTGAATTTTAGATGTATTGATTTAATGATATTTAGCTTTTATGTGTCTCTGTCTCCCCTCTAAAATTTGAAATGTTCCCTGTGTGCCCCAGACCAGTTTCGGTGCAATGCATGAATTTCCTCATTACATTTCACAAAAATCCAGTAAGAGTAGACTGCATGTATGTGTCTGTGTGTGTTGTGGGTTAAGGGTAATCCCATTTTTATAGATGAAGAAACTGAAGATCTAAGAAATAAGTGCTTTTTAGAAAACTTATTTGAATTACCAAAAGGTAAAGTTAATACTCAAACTGTTATTTCTTTTATTTATTATAGCACTTTGTCATTTGGTCAATAACTGATTTTTTATAACTCAAGAAACACAAAACAAATAATCCAAAAGCACACCCATAAAGGGTACATGTAGCACAAGGTCTTTATCCTGTGTGTGTTGTTTACTGAGCTCCTATGATGTGGCAGGCACTGCACTTATAATGCTGGTAAGACATGATCTCTTCTCTTAAATTATTTGCAATTCAATACAGAAGAGACTAGTGATCAATTATAGGAATGTATCAGTATCACAAAAAAACATATTACAATTTGCTATGATTATGTATGAGAAGGTCTGGGAAGCTTCACAGGGTAAGTAGGTATTTTGTAATTTTGAAGGATAAATACTTCTTATCTTCCTAATACCATAAAGTTGTAAGGGATATAGAATTATACATTCAGGCTATGATGATTTGGATTCATTACTGTGATATTATCAAAATGCTCCAATGGCAACTCACTCTAGTATTCTTGCCTGGAGAATCCCATGGACGGAAGAGCCTGGCAGGCTAAGGTCCATAGGGCTGAAAATGACTTAGCATGAACGCACCAAATAGTACTACAAGGAGTAGCGAAGTGACAGGACTGGGATTTAATCCTCATTTTTCTGGCCTCAAACCCTATGCTTTTACCTCTCAATAGCCAGATTATACTCTTTATCAAAGTCCTGTTTTCCAGTCTGTGGCTATCCCTTCTATTAAATTCATAACTACTTTTTAGTTTCTTAATACTAAAGATACAGCTCAGGTATAAATATGGCTCAGAAAAATCAACCTTATTACAGTAAATCTATAATGCATTATTCGATAAGAACCTACTAGTTCATGTTTGGTAATCTGAAGTGTGAAAGGAGTGTAAATAATGAAATGAACATGGACCTTGAAGTCAAATACACTGGTTTCAAATTCTGATCCCATCTTTTCTAGCTCTCTTGAGACTGAATAAGCCACAAGCTCTGAGTTAGCTTGCTCTTGCAAAGAATGTGAATAATTAACACCTACCTCACAGGTATGGAAATAAAATATTAAAAAATGCCTAATACAGTAGGACCTCTAAGATATGTAACATTAGCTACCAGATGAAGAACTTTACAGTATTCAATGGCAACGTCAGAGATGACTATATGGCAAGAGGAAACTTATAAGAAGATAGCATATTTAAAAGCTTTAAGAAGTCTCTCTTAGGTAAAGAGGAAAGGATATCCATCCACAAATATTGGCATTACCTGCAGTTTGTTATTTTACAAGTAATATGAAAAGGTTCTTCTAGGTTTACAGTATCTGGGATTGCCTCCAAAGACAACCTAACATCTCCATAACCTGGAGCCTATGAGAAAAAGAAATACAGTTAACATGTATCTATTATAAAAACCTTTCCATTTTAAGAGAGTACTACAGTCCTACTATTATCCATTCTAACTTCTTTTGCTGCTACTACTTATAAAATAGCACTAGAGGCCCTGACTGTTTTTGTTATAATTACTCCATGTTTAGTAAAGTTGAAATGAGTCTCACAGGCAAATAGGAAACCAATTTCAGGGGGTCTGATCTTAAGGGGAAGCTTCCAAAGATACTGTAGCTTATAGAAACATAAGTCTGCATAGATAAGGTTATTGCCTAAACAGGTAGAGGAAGACACTGAAATAACTGAAGAAGCAAATCACGTCTGTTTCACAAGATACACTGATATGGACAGACAGTAGAATCAAAATGCCATGGCAGGATGATAGCTAATGGCTATGTTTTAAACTAGGCCCAGTGGTAATCTCTCTTTTTTCAATTTTTACCTCAAATAGTAAAAGTAAATTTTAGAATGTATCTCAGCAGGTAATATTCAGTATAAATAGAGGATTCTATAGTATATTTCCACTAGCACAAGAAAAAGAAGGCTGGTCGCTATCCATACTCTCAGAGTAGAAATTAGATAAAAGATCCAACCAGAGTTTATAAAATAATTTGAGTGGGACTCACATGAGTTTCAGGTGACTGACATTTTAAACATCTTTAAAGAAGGAATGAACTGAGTAGGTAAATGCAGCATAAATCTAAGAGTTCCAAGACATTGCAAAAAGAAAGAGATAACTCTAATATAGTGGAAGTCAGATAACAATGAGCATAGGAGGAAACAACTGATATGCAGTTATTTTAATTTGCTTGGTAAAGTAAAAAAGTTCTTTACATGGTAGAAAATCATGTATGATGGATAAATTAACATCTGAACACTTCCCATTCATATCAATACCAATTTTCTACCTAGGTATCAGTGAAATTGTTTGTCTTTCATTCTCTGGTAATATTAATGCCTTTTATAGTGCTCTGATTTTTAGTGACAGACCTAGAGAAATTTAACTTGTTCTAACTATCTGACCCCCAACACACCAAAACCCCCATCAATGTTTTTTCTAGACTCACCATTCTTTGAAGTTGGCTGGTCTGTAATCTTCCCCTTTCACCTAGATTTGTTTTCCATACTATATCCAATTTTCCAATTACCGTCACTCCCTTAATGATGCCTGCTTTTTCTGCAAACTCCTTCTTGGGTTTTAAGCAGTATAAGTACTGGCGTGTATCCATTGGCTGCAAATATGCTCTTGAACCAAATGTAGTTACACTGAGGGGTGAAGACAGAGATGGAAAAAATTCTCTAGAATCTTTTAAAAGAAAAACCATAGCTGTGATTGTTCCTTTGGATAGGACCTGAATGCTCTACCATCCAAAGATCTAGAATACAACATGTCAGTGGTTTCAATACAAATGAAAAGAACTTGAACTGAAAGGACTTACTTTTCTTTAATTTTTTTCAGTTGATTTGGAAAATCTTCAGATTCTTTATAATAGAATGCAATATATTACCTAAAGTATTGGACATACATCAACTAACTGAAAAAATGCAAGAGAATTCAGAACCTTAAGTATCCTGTCCCTTTTCCCTAAAATTATGAAAGAAAATAAAGAAACATACCATTCTAAACTAAGTAATCATTTTCAAAATGAATAAAAGGATCAGGCCAAGAGGGGAAAATTATTGTTTTCCTCTGTGGGGGTATGAGAGGCTACAAACTTTACTGCATTCTAACATAATAAAAGTAAAATTTCCATTCTTGATTAATAAAATCAGGTATTCCTCCAGCTATTACCTTCTTATCTATATTAATGTCAATCTTACATTTATTTATTCTTCTTTTTCTAAATTACTCATAGATGTCTATTTCATTTTTCTAAAAAATTAAATCATCTATTTCTATGCTCACTCCTTTTGATGTTGAGAGAACACATTGTGTTGAAACTCATTGTTCATTCTAACTTCTCCATCATTCCTTCCCATGCCTCAATTTTACCATTTGCAGGATAAAGGATGAAATGTTCCATATTTATCTCACTGAATTATTATGAAAATTGAAAGAATAAGTGCTCTAGGTACAAATGGTGAAGATCTTATTTTTATGTGAAGGGAGAGCTTGATGGACCATGAGAGACTTTAAGGGCAGTGAAATTATTTTATAAGGTAAAGTCATGATGGCTATGTCATTACATTTGTCAAAACTCATAGAATGTACAACACAAAGAGTGAACATGAATGTAAACTGGATTTTAGTTAATAGTAAGTATCAATATTGATTCACTGATTGTAAAAAATGCACCAAGTTAAATGTAAACAATATGGGACCCTGTAAGTGGGGAGGACATGTAAGAATGCTGCACTTTCTGATAAATTTTTCTGTAAATTTAAAAATTCTCTTATAAAGTCTATTAATTAAAAAAATGATAAATCACCCAAGAATAACAATGATAGAAAAGTTCATGTCTTTTAAAATAAAAATAAACAGTTCACAATTCATATTTACCATTCTCCAGCTTGGTTGACTGAATTTAATTCTGCTACATTGTACATTATTGATGGCTCCAATGAAACCTTCTCCATAAACATAGGTGAGGTTGTAATATTCTGAATCTGGGCTTCAAGAAATACTTCATCAGTCTGAAAAAAAAAAATCCACCAAAGGATGATGGTGTTTAAAGTATTTACCTCAACAACAATATCTGATTTATATGAAGAAAAACATTAACCATAAATGTGATTAGTTCATGGCTGCAAATCAAAGTTATCATAATTAATGCAAGAAAAGAAATCTTTATCCTAACATAATTAACAGGGGCAAAGTGAAGTGTTAGTCAACTGATAAGTTATCAAACAATGGATGGGGGATAACTATAATATTTTTTGTATTGACATCCAAAAATGTTTAACTGGAATTTCATTCACATATATCCTAAATTTTCTGGTAAGTCATTAAAATGTCAAAATGCAATCTAGGATAACGAATATACCTATGCACTTAGCATTTCAGAAATGTGTTAAGATACTTAGGTCTTTGTTATAATATTACAGCATAATTTAATTTTCATATTATTTCAAATTAGATAGTAAAGTGAATAATCTATTTTATAATCTTATAGGATTTAACTTTATAAAGCAATTATTGTAGTGTTCATTAGTGATTTCCCAGTTCATTAAGTGTTTATTTAGGGCAAAAAAAAAAATGAATTATACTTGAAATCTTTGAGTTTTTAAATCAAAGAAAAGGTACTTTGTAGTCTTACTGACAGATACAGCAGTATTTCAATCATGGGGTAATTTACATATGTACTTTTACATAATTTTTAAAATTCCCTAATTATGCTAAACATTCTTCCTTTTATGCTATTGTGTTATTTTGGGGGGCATATAATCACAGGGTAACAGACAACTTGCCTCTTTTTTGATACAAATTTACATATGGTATACTAAGGATATTCTAGAATTACTTTATTCAAAAGTTTCATAGTAATATATATATGTAGAAATAAAACAAAATAAACTATGACCAAAAAATGTTGGCACTTAGCTTTTTTAACACTAAATCCAGAAAAATGGAAATTATTTGCAAAAATATAATGATGGAGTTATAATTTAATATATTATTATCTAAAACAAAACAGATTTTTTTTGTCCTGGGTACATGTGTCCTAATAAAATAGAAATACTATAATTTATCAGTTTAAAAGAAGGTACACATTCAAAGGCCTTTTGTTATTTTTTTCTCAAAAAACAAAAAGTAAATATATCCCATCAATCCATTGCTTAAAAAAAAAATAACCAGAGACCCACATTTCAAATTTAAAAATTCAATTTCTGCATAAGTTTAGAAGAGCTTAGATAAAATGAAAGGAAAAACAAGCAGCATAATGGAAAATTAAGTTAGTTTGAACAGTTAGTATAGAGTTACTTGACATGTAAAAAATTAAGAATTCAGTGCTAAGGCAGTTTTTATTGTGTATATAATATGTTATAAGCAAATGTTGCTTATATTAAACAGAAATTTGAAAATATGATTTTAACCAACTTGGGAAAATTTAATTTTCTTCAGTTTGCTGTTAAAGGGCCATCTTCACCTGACCCAGAATTAAGACTAAAACCACTGTGCATTTGAAGATGAATTTCAACTACACAGTTCATTCAAAGATGTGGAGGATCACAGGATATTTTATGTTAAGATGTTGATAATTCAAAGGCTATTTAAACAAGGCTAACAAGGCCTCTTAAAAAATATCTACAGAAAATCACACTAAAATAAGAATATAATTGTTTCAATATGACAATTTAATCTTTGATGTATATTTTCTCATAAATAAGACAATCAATATAAAAAGTACAAATTATATACATATTTTCAAAGTCATATAAGTATACTCACAACTAACTTTGTTTTTCCACTATGTTTGTATGGAGAGATTAATTAAGCAAAGTCAAAAAGTGGTAAGTAAGAAAAGCATACAAATTTATAATAAAAAATCAAATTACCACAGAACTGAGGTCACTCTAATGGAAAAATAAAAAGAAAAATTAGAAAAATCAGATTAAATGTTAAAGGAAAAGAATAACTTTAAAATAAAATGCATTTCTGCATTTTTAAAATTTACTAAACAAGACAGCATTAGTAAAACAAGGACGTAAACAGAAAGCAACACAAAGAAATATGACAAATCATTTTTCTAAAAAGGTGAAACTGCTAAGGTTAAATGAATAGAGAAGAACACTGCAGGTGGACACTTAAACAGGAGCAATAGTCAAGGGCATAAATTCTTACCCACTTTGTAATTCTTCATAGATTACTTAGGATGGGTATACAAATATCTGCCACATTCAGGACAGATACTGTATAGCTTCTTCTAAATTTATCTAATAATGGGATTTTACACTTCAGGGAATGCTGAACTAGACCATCAAACAATTGAGAGTTAACAGATTTCATAGTTCATCTTCTTTTCATATATATATACATATAGCTAAAGTTACTTATTTCCCAAGGGCCATCTCAAATGTCAGCTCTTTATCAAACATCAAGCTGGAAATCATTTTTCACCTATGTTCCCAGAGTATAAGTACACTTCATGATCAGGGTGGGTGGGGGTGATTACACTGTGATATGAAGTCATATCAAGTGCTAAGTCACTTCAGTCATGTGACCCCATGGATTGTAGCCCACCAGGCTCCTCTGTCCATGAGATTTTCCAAGCGAGAATACTGGAATGGGTTGCCATTTCCTTCTCCAGGGGATCTTCCCCACCCAGGTGATTGAACCTGGGTCTCCTGCACCGCAGGCAGACTCTTTACCATCTGAGCCCCCAGGGAAGCACTGTTATGTCTCCTCCACTAAATCTAAGTGCTATGAGGATAGGGAAGATGTTCAGTTTATATTTATTTCTCTTCCATACCTGGCACAGAGCACTGTACTCAGCAGGTGACCAAAGGTTTGAAGCCTAGCTTCTTATGTCATTTTTTTTTTCCTAGCAAAGCTTTCTTATTTTAGAAGACTACAACAAAGTTTCTCACAAAACTTGTTTTCCTTTTGGTGAAGCACATAGTATTAAAATTTTTAGATGCAGCATAAAAAAACATGTTTGCGACAAATGTGGGGCTAACAATAGTTGTCAGGTAAGGTCTATGGAATAGTGTAATAAACTATTGATACTAGTGTGCTTAACTAACTCCCAAATTTCCTAGTTGGGGTTAATAGAATCTGCCTTATGCTAAAGGCAGAACAGAATTAGTTTACCTAATAGGTAATACCAAATGTATTAGAAAGATCCTAAATGCTATTTGCTCACTTCTCATTTTTAAAGAAATGTCACTTTCAAAAGTTCAGAATTTTATGAAAATTTTTTAGCTGAAGTTGGTTGGCAAAGTCTACACTAAAGATTATGTCTATATTTAATGTTAATTGAAAAAGCAAAATTGTTACTATGATTATAAGAACAGAATATTATATATAAATGAAGAGAAATATAAATGAAAGAGAAAACTGGTTAATGAAGAACCAATTACTTTTTGCTGTGGTAGAATTGTGGGTTTCTTCCTTTCTTCTTGGGGAGTATGTTACTTTTATGTTATTTATGGAATTATTAGCAATTTAAAAAAATTTGCAATTCACCCATAATATTGGTGTGATAAAACTACTTGACAAGTACCCTCATGTACCACTATATTTCAACAAAGAAAACTTAAAAATAGTTTAGTATGGGCTTTCCTAGGAACCGATTACAGGAAAAAAAGACCGACCTACATATTTGTTTTCAATTTTCCAAACTACTTTTTCTAATATAATAGTTACCAGTCTCCCCTCATACTATGAATGAAATCTTTCCCAGCAAAATAATAAATTAAGACTATTTAAGTACAGAGCTATACTGTAATTAATCAATGATATCTTGTTAATAACAAAAAAAAGATAGAACAAATATGTATTATCCCAATTCTCCTATCCCTCCCCACAAAGAAACATCAACTCTTTAAACATCTAATAATCTCCTTGATGAGACTGAATCCTCCCACCAAATACTGATATGTATACACTTCACTACATATTCAATGTTCCACTTGCAACTCTGGTTGGAATGCCTTCACTGCTCTGACACTACATTTCCAGCACCTATTACTTCTATACTCTGAGGCAGTTCTCTTTCTTTACTATGAAGCTTTCTTAAGACTACTCCAAAATCTCATTCCCAGAGTTCCTGTATCACATCTTTTTGTACCAGTCTCTCTAGTCTCACCATATGCTGTACTAGTAACTTTTTTATTTTATGCACTTTTTTCTTTTCTCCTGATAGGTTTTTACTTCAAGGTTAGGTTCCTTATCTTAGATGTTTTAGTATGCCCAGTTGTAGCACAAACTTTATAGTGAATAAAAACTCTGAGATGCTGATGGTAAAAATAGTATTATCAAATTTGACATGAGACTACAAATTTCTTATCACCTGGTTTTGGGTAACAGACATAATTTGCATTTCAAAATGCTATATTTGAATATCTCTGAGTTTATCATTATGATCTGAAACACATTATTTTACGGGGTAAGAGGCCCATTAGGAAATCTGTTTTTTCTGGAATTCTAGATACCAGGATAAAACAGAATTTTGTAAAAGAAATTCAAGCAATAAAACCTTTTCCTTATGACAAATTCTGTTCTATATCTTTTGTTAGAACAGAAGATAATCTTCTATTCTAAAAGTTACTCCTTTCTATATTTTTGCCAAATTTGTTTCTCCTAAGGAGACGTTCAAATCATTCACTAAACTTAGCAATCTCACACTGACTTTTCAGGACAAAGAATTTAATGTATTGAGTTCTACTTAATATTTTTCTATATAAATATTAAATATTTTTTGAAGGTTCAGATTTACTACTTCAATTTTTATAATATCACAACCACATTTATAAATATTTAACAGATTGCTAATGTTTTTAGACAGGAACAACAACTATTAAATGGAAGCACAGGGTCGTCATTTAATGAAAGGAGGTAAAAGCCTCAAAGTTAATGAGAATAAAAATCAAGGCATATTGATTCCATGTAAATTGAAAACAGCAGATTAAAAGAGATCTACAGTGAAATTAATCACTTGTGATTTAACTTTATGCTCATTTTCCACAAGTAATTTATAGTCATATCAGAAATTTACTCTGATATGAAAAGAAATATAATACATGAGAATTTTAGTCAGGTAAGATCTTAATGTTGAACATGAAATCCCATTAAGTGCTCCACACTTACCTCTGCATTGTAAAATTTGGTTTTCACATCCAATGGTTTGAGAACCTAGTTGAATAAAGCATACCAATCAAAGAAGATTATTATCATTTGACCATTTATTTTGCTTATTTGTTTTAAATCTTGGGTTTAAGCTTGTCAAAGGCATTTTCCAATTTTAATTGTAACAGACTTTCCAAATGGGTATGCAATATTCTTGTAAAAACAAAAACAAACAAAAACAATCCCAAAGGAATTTTTAAAAAAAGCTACCATAATTTCTTGACTGGGTGACAATTACATGAGTTATATGGATTTGTCCTTCACAGTATTTGCTAAACTGAACACATATGTATGTTTGTGTATTTTTCTCTATATCAAAATAAGCAATCAAACCTTTCATTTTCTTTTAAAAGGAATGCAAAATCTTAAAGAGACGAGTGATAACAAAAGCAATAACAACAAAGCAATAGCAATTTTTTTCTTCCTATAGACAGTACTTTTTCTTCCACATACAGAGGAATGAAAAATATATATAGTGTCATATCTAGATCTACATAACTGTATATGGTCATCTCATTTCCCTATCTATACACACAGATGTGTTAAAACAGTGGTTTTATTCTTTGATTATGGACTTTGAAAACTTTGTATAAATAAAAACTTCTAACTGCAATTTCAGTGACTCATGATTTTTCTGAAGGAAGCTTGGTCCACTTAACCCAAATCAATAATCCTTCATTTAAATATGTCTTTAGAAATCTGATATTATTTACACTTATTTTGTCTGGACCTTCCAGTCATTTTATCCATCTTCTGGATTCTTGCCTTTTGTCAAGGCATGAAAACCAAACAATTTTTTTTAAAATAAAAACATTATACTGCCAATGATAATTTCTGTTTTTATTTAACTTAGTCTGACTTTAGGTTGCTAGTAACATGATAAATTCAAAAACATTAGGGTATTTGCTTTATTTGGAGTCTGTTTTTACTGCAGATAAATAGGTGTAATTTCCTGGGGGCGGGGGTGGCAGGGGGAAGGCATCTATACACAATTTACCACCATCAGATTTAATACCTGAAACTTGAAGAATTTTCTAAAATACATTTTTTCTCCACCCTGAGTTGTGTAACTCACTGCACACACCAAGCTGAAACAGAAAGATGTATTAATGATTTCTGAATCATTTTCAATTTTGTTTCTTAATAGTTAACCTACTACATTTCAACTCTATCAACAAATCTGGAAAATATACCAATGACGTGAAAGTGTAGTCAAATGAGCCTAGAGCAGGAAAAAAAGTTTCAGTAGATATAGATATAATTCCATGAACAAGAAAGCTATGATTAGTAAAATAAGATACACCATTTTTAAAGCTGGAAGTCAGAAAGTGACTTTTTTTTCTTCAAAAAGTGAAGCATGATCCAAAATAAATACCAGGATAACTAAACAGTTGAATATTAAAAATAAGTTCACATAAACTAGCAGAAAATACAAATTTTTAAATAATTCCAAGATGAGGAAAGCCTTTTTAATATAAATCCAATGGAAAGGATAACCTCTACAAATTTACAAACTGGATAAATCAAAGACAAGAAAACAAAATTTTAAAAAGGACAACATATTGGGATAAAAGGCTTCTAACAATATCAAGCTTTGTAGGCATAACGTTACTATCTCACTCAAAATAGGAGAAAAGAATATATATATAAATCACAGTAGCATGATTTACTAACAAAAATGTGAAAATATTCACCCTTACAAGTAGTCAAAGAAACAAATTACAAAAAAAAAAAAAAAAAAAAGAAACAAATTACAATAATGAGGTAAGATTTTTCCCCACCTTAGGATCTGGCAAAAATTCTTTCCAAGAAATAACAGGGTTGTTGAGGGTTTGGAGAAACTGACTCTCTTTCTACTGCTACTGGTTATAAAAACTGAGAAAACAGTCCTTCAGGAAAGGAGTCTTAAACATGTTTATACGCTCCTACAGTAAACCCATTTGAAGCAATCTATCACAGAAAATATTAAGGTGTTCGTCACTGTATTATTCATAACACTGAACAGGTGGAAATAATCTAAAGTTTAACATCAGAGTAAACAAATTACAGTACATGGTCCAAGTGTGTAGATAAAATCATTTTAAGAAAAATCTTTTCAAAAATTACTGACTCAAGTGGGAAACTGTTTTTGGTGCATTAAAAAAGATTAAGCCATAGATAATTTTATCAAAATTTTATAAAATATTATTTACTTATACATATCTGTTATATATGCACATAAAAAGACTGAAGTATACCAGTATTTTAATAGTGGTTATGCTAGGTGGTGACATTATAGGTAATTTAATTTCTCTCTTATATCTGTACCTAGTACTAAACTAGGTGCTAGGGATTTAGAGTTGATCAAAACTCAATACCTGCTCTCATAGTGCTCACGGTTGGAAACAAAGTACAGATTTTGAAGCTAGATTTGAGCTCCATGCCGTTATTTACCAGCTATTTAATTCTACCAGAGTCTCATTTTCTGTAAAATGGGGATTTTACACATTTATTATCGTTCAAATAAACTCAATTTCAACAAATGTTGACCATTATTTCTCTGCTAAATTCCGAGGATACAGCCGACTTTGTGCAGTTCATACTTTGATCACCAGGCACTCAGTGAGTAATTTCAAGTACAAAAGACATAGAAGAATATTTGAAGAAGTAGAATTAAACTAAACAAAATGACACAGGCATTCCTTTATAAGAGAAGGATACATTTCAAGTTGTGGAGGAATTCAGAGGTAAAAGAATCCAACATAACTGCAGTGTAAAGCTATGATGTGTCAAGTATGTGTAAAGTATGATGAAAGGTGGAACTAGAGTATTTGGTAAGGATTAGGTATGGAGAGCTCTGCAAAACCTATATAAAGTTAGAATTTCCTAAGGGTAATGGGAGCTCACTGAAGTGTCAGGTGACTGATTCAAGGGATTGAGCTAACATCTGAATTCCAGAAAATCTGACACCAAAGCTTATACCAACCACAGAATATATATTAGTGTTAGTTGCTCAGTCATGTCCAACTTTATGCGATCCCATGGATTGCCTCCTCTGTTCATGGGATTCTCCAGGCAAGCCAACTGGAGTGAATTGTCACTCTCTTCTCCAGAGGATCTTTCAGACCCAGTAATCGAACCTGGGTCTCCTGCATTGCGGGCAGACTCTTTACGGTTTGATCCACCAAGGAAGCCCAGAATATATTTCAAAAAGTGCCTAAACAGAGCCTTGTCACTAAAATGAATTAAACGATAGACAGTATCACATGAACTGCTTTAACACAAGAAAGAGAAACAGAAATGGTGATGTAACAAGAGATGGAGAGAGGCTGCTGAGAGGTAATTAACAAGAATATAGGACTTTGTGAATCAACTATATGTGGGAGTGGTAAGGCATATAGAGAAGTCTAAAATTACTTTAGGTGGCTCTGAAATGTTCATTTTCACCTCTCAGACAAAGAAAAACAGAGCATTCACATTCAAATACCTATACAGGCCAAGGATACAGAATTTGACATTTCTTTTTCCCTCATAGTTTGTTTTATTTTGGTTCACTACTTTTGAACTCTCAGGATAGAGTGTATTTATATAGTTAAACCCAGAACTGAAAAGCTGTGAATTTAAAAATAAGTGTTATTAACATCAGTTGTTAATTCCAAAAGAGTAAACATACTTTTAGAGTACCACCTGGGTTTTAAAGGTTTGCAGCATGGATTTTTATTTTTCAGTCAGATTGCAGATGCAAAAATAAAACTACAGATAAATGAAGAGTTTTTTTTCCCTTACACAATAAATATTTTGTTTAAAGTCTGTTTCTGGCAAACATATAAACATGGCACATAAAACTCCTTCTGAAGTAGTATTTCAGGCTTGATAATAAATGGAAATAAAGCAAAAATTTCAAATAAAGGCTTTTATAAGTAAAAGCCTTTGAAATGTAGTAAAATGAATTCTTACATGTGTGTTCCAATTTCCTTTACTTCATGGTGTATGACATCATCAATACAACAATCGGGTTTAAGTTCGGCCACTGCAGCGTTAGAGGCTGAAAGATTCAAACGCTGAGAACTTGTCTGAAGATCAGCCTTGAAAGAAAGAGAGAATAAAATACAAGTGAACTTGGTTACCTACAGGCTGTGGGTGAGCATGGGTAGAAGGAACAGGGGAACAGGAACAAAGCAGTAGGGATGAAAGGAGAGCGACACTTCTCTGTACACATCTCTCTGTATAGATGTCACATTTCTCTGATGCTTAGAAAAGAGTAATGGTTCAGACAAATGCACAGCTGAAAATAAATAAAATCAGCCACGAAGTTGGGGGAAATCCAAAATGGAATCCATACAGCATCAAATGAACTTGACTCTACTGCAAATGAACACAACCACGCCAAGAGTAAAGGAAAAGTAAGAACCAATTAAGTTTGGCAAACAAAAACTAAAAACAAAAAGAATGGCACGCAAATGTTTTACTCTTGAACATCTGCTTTTTGGCAGGGGTACATGTAGATTAGCAATTCTAAAACTTCTATTTGTGTACCAGGATTAAACAAACAATGTGCACATTATGGGTAGCAAGAGACAGGTTTCTGATCTTTGGAGACAAAAAAGTACAAATAAGAAAAGTGAGAAGGCTACAATGACACCTTTGGTACTGGACTGGAATTTGGGGCATCCATATGAACCTATGGTTTTAAAATTTATATATATGCAGATGGATATTACAGGAACATATACAGATGTGTACACATGTGTTAGTATATAGCACTAAAAGGTAAACAGTCATTCAAAACAACATTAGATGTCAGAAACCACCTGATTTGTAGAAGTAGAGATCAACATTCAAGTCATCAACTAAGAAAGAACCAGTTTCTCTAACTTAGCAACCTGCCCCCACTAAGTTATTTTCCACCATATTCCCTGCTAATTTCTTTTGTAACATTTATTACCATCTATAATTACCTTATGATTTTTTGTCCACCTGTTTCCTTCCATCTCCCCTACCAAAAATGTAAGGTCTATTGAGGTAGGAACCTCTTGTCTTCTCTTCTTCACTGCTATAACAGTGAACTGTTATACCTGTTATGCCTGGCACACAGTAAGTAATTAATAAATGTTTGTCAAATAATTAAATTATGATAAAACTTCAAGGCAAATGTCAAGAAAAATACAGATAAAGCAAAGGTCATATTAAGTCACAGGGAGTGGAAGTGGTTTTGTCTTTAAGAGCTAAGACTTTTAAAAAGATTTTGTTTAAAAAAAATTCAGTTAAGTTTTTGGCAGTAAATTCTAACCAAACATTCTTAATGCAGGCACTTCAAAGTGGGATATTTATTATATCCCTCTCTTTTGTTATTATATTCAGTTACTAAACAGTAATAGTAGCTCACATTTATTGGGCCCCTACCATGTGCAAGGCCCCGTTCTAAGCACATTATTCATTTGATGCCTGCTACAAGCTTCAACAGTATGTGAACTGAGACCTTTCCGATGTACAAGCTGGATTTAGAAAAGGCAGAGGAAACAGAGCTCAAATTGCCAACATCCGTTGGACATAAAAAAAGCAAGGGAATGCCATAAAAACATTTACATCTGCTTCACTGACTATGCTAAAGCCTTTGACCGTGTGGATCACAACAAACTGGAAAATTCTTAAAGAGATGGGAATACCAGACCACCTGATCTGCCTCCTGAGAAATCTGTATGCATGTCAAGAAGCAACAGTTAGAACCAGACATGGAACAACAGACTGGTTCAAAATTGGAAAAGGAGTACATCAAGGTGTATACTGTCACCCTGTTTATTTAACTTATATGCAGAGTGCATCATGTGAAATGCCAGGCTAGAGCAATCACAAGATGGAATCAAGATTGCTGTGAAAAATGTCAACAACATCAGATATGCAGATGATACCACCCTAATGGCAGAAAGTGAAGAGAAAATAAAGAGTCTCTTGCTTAAGGTGAAAGAAGAAAGTAAAAAGGCTGGCTTAAAACTCAACGTTCTAGAAACTACAATCATGGCATCTGGTCCCATTACTTCATGGCAAATAGATGGGGAAAAAATGGAAACAGTGGCAGATTTTATTTTCTTGGGCTCCAAAATCACTGCAGATGGTGACTGTAGCCATGAAATTAAAAAGATGCTTACTTCTTGGAAGAAAAGTTATGACAAACCTAGACAGCGTATTAAAAAAGCAGAGACATCAGTTTGTTGACAAAGGTCTGTACCGTCAAAGCTATGGTTTTTCTAGTAGTCATGTACAGATGTGAGAGTTGGATCATGAAGAAGGCTGAATGCAGAAGAATTGATGCTTTCAAGCTGTGGTACTGGAGAAGACTCTTGAGAGTCCCTTGGACAGCAAGATCAAACCAATCAATCCTGAAGGAAATCAACCCTGAATATTCATTTAGGAAGAACTGATGACTGAAGCTGAAGCACCAATACTTTGGCCACCTGATGCAAAGAGCTGACTCACTGGAAAAGACCCTGATGATGGGAAAATCGTGGGCAGGGGGAAAAGGTGGCAACAGACAATGAGATGTTTGGATTGCATCACTGAATCAACGGACATGCTAATGCTGCTGCTAAGTGGCTTCAGTCATGTCCAACTCTGTGAGACCCCATAGACTGCAGCCCACCAGGCCCTGCCGTCCCTGGGATTCTCCAGGCAAGAACACTGGAGTGGGTTGCCATTTCCTTCTCCAATGCATGAAAGTGAAAAGTGAAAGTGAAGTCGCTCAGTCGTGTCCGACTCCTTGTGACCCCATGGACTGCAGCCCACCAGGCTCCTCTGTCCATGGGATCCTCCAGGCAAGAATACTGGAGCGGGGTGCCATTGCCTTCTCCATCAACGGACATGAGATTGAGCAAATTCCAAGAGGTAGTGAAGGACACAGAAGCCTGGCGTCCTGCAGTCCTTGGGTCATCGCAAATAGTGGGACACAAGTTAGTGACTGAATAAGCCCTGAAGCATGTAATTGTACCATCCCTGTTTTACATACAAGTGAAAAAACACAGAAAGAACAACTCCCCATAGGTTATACAACTAATAAGAAATGAAACTAAAATCCAGAATTCTTTACCATTTTAGGCATTAAAGAAGGAGGAGGGGAAGAAAAGAAAACAGTCAAACCCATGGGCTTTCTGTCCAATTTGTTTCCCTATGTATTATCTGTTAAACATTAATCATAACTACAGTGTGTATTATATATATAGATAAACACTTTTAGCTTTTTCCTTTTCCATGTTATAACTGCTGCACTTAACATTTATTTCCTAATTACCATCAGGACGTTTCCAGGAATTGGAGATAAAGTAGTGAACAAAAGAGACCAAAATCTCTGTTCCTATGGAATTTAAATGTTTGGGGAAGATAATACAGAGTAAAGGAGGAATGGCTGGCTGGCTTGAGGAAGGGGAATACAATTACAGGGTAGGTTTCATGCTCCAAATTGGTTTTTGGATGAACAGGATTTAAAAAGGGATGTTTTTTCTTCTTTACCACTATAACACAGAGCCTGGCACACAGTATGCAATTAATAAGTGTTTGTCAAATAATGAATGAAATTATGATAAAACTTCAAGGCAAATGTCAAGAAAAATACAGAGAAAGCAAAGATCACATTAAGTCATGGGGCGTGGCAGTGGTTTTGTCTGTAAGAGCTAAGACTTTTAAGATGTTGTTTAAAAAAAAATCAGTTAGCAAGCTTTCTGCAGTAAATTCTAACCTAATATTTCTTAATTCAGGGACTTCAAAGTGGGGTATGTATTAGTATTATCTCTTTTGTTATTATAAATGCCATGTGAATACAGATTTGACAATGAATTTTTTTCTTTTTCATGCTCTTTCTCTTTGTGAATATATCCAAGGTGTTTAACTGAGCTAGCATATTCTATCTCTTGATTCTCAAAACTGTAAGATTCTTCTAACTGGCTTATTTCCTACAAACCATTCCATACAATGCTTTCGTGTCAGCCTTCCAACACGAACCTCTGCTCAAAAGTCTCCACTGATTGCACACTGTCTTACCTCAGCCTTAGTCTGGCTTTTAAGATGCTCACTTACTGTATGGTTACTGCCGATCTATCTGTACAACCTTACTTGCTCTTACTAAGTGAATTCTGTTCACTGCTACAAGAACACATTACATATTCCTATGTTTCTGCTTCCAACCACCATGCCCCTCCTCTGTCTTGTCTTGGAAACCCTGCCATTCTGTCAGCACCCTGTGCTCCCTCTCCTTCAACAGCCCTTCCCGAATGATGCGATCTCCAGTGATGGTCTTTCCTCTTTCAAACTTTATTATGTTAATCATAAATCATTAACAGAAATTTAACTGCTAATTACCTTTGGTATATTTTCTCATCCAAGCTATCACTAACTTTGAGGATAAGGAATAATGATTCTATGCATAGCATATCTTATAACTTAGGGTGTTCAATTAATGCTTGCTGTTAATAACAATTAAAAAGTCAGTATCAAACATGTATTTTAATGTAGTCTCAAAATATAAGAATAGAAATTTAAAAGTAAAAAAAAAAATTATCCCCAAAAAGAATGCCACTTACTTTAACCAATATATCTTTTACAACTTGATTGCTATCATTATGGACGCTGATATAACTGGAAAAGGTCTCTCCCAAAAATATATTCCTGTGAAATAAAATAAATTTTTAGACAGAAATCCATTCAAGTTTTATCACAAATATTCTAATTATGCACCACTGAGAATATCAAATGGAGAAGTTACTAAAGGATAGTAATCCCTTCATGGATTACAGCCTTGTCATGGCAGAGTGGCTTCCATAACTCAGGTGAAATACTATTTCAATATTTCTTCATTTACACTAGGCTGCTCACTCATTATCTAGTGCAATTCAAAATACAGATTTAATCTATAAAGCATACTATATAACTTGACCCTCAACTACTGCCAAAACTAACAGCCCTTCTAAAAATAAGTCATTGAAATCAGATCCACGTGAAAAGTCTTAAGATTTGTTAATAAGGAGGCTACAAAAGGCAATATTTGAAATAACTTATGCCCTGAATCTAGAAGGGATCAAGTTATTGATCTCAGAGTAGTTTTACCAATTTATTTTATTTTTCTAACTTATTCTAATTAAAATGACTAGTGGCATTACTTTATAAGTAGTGACTTTATAGGAGCTTATAAGCTCAGTCATGTCCAACTCTTTGTGACCCCATGTCCTACGCAGTCCATGGAAGTCTCCAGGCCAGGATACTGGAGTGGGGAGTCGTTCCCTTCTCCAGGGGATCTTCCCAACCCTGGGATCAAAGCCAGGTCTCCTCCACTGCAGGTGGACTCTTTACCAGCTGAGCCACAGGGAAGCCCAAGAGTATTGGAGTGGGCGGCCTATGCCTTCTCCAGTGGATCTTCCTGACCCAGGAACTGAACAGGGGTCTCCTGCGTTGCAGGCAGATTCTTTACCAGCTGAGCTACCAGGGAAGCCTCAGTATATATTATATATAATGCATATTAACATATAAATGTATGTAGGTTTATATACAAATATTTTAATATGAACATTTTTTACATGAATATATTTCTAAGCTCTCAAGACACTAATCAATGACCAAATTCTATAAACCTTTAAAAATTATCTTGGTTGCAAACAGAGTGGAACCAAGGGCTTTTACTTCAGTAATAATCTAAAATAAGAGAATAACTAAGAGCAAGAGAAGGAATAAAACATTTAGAGTTCCTAATAAGCTGACAAGTCCAATAACTTATGTTGGTAAAGGGCCGTGAAGGTGAAGAAAAGAGCTGATTTTGAAAGACACTGAGATGGAACCCTTTAAAATGAAAGGAATACATGGGCATTTAAAAAGCTCTATAGGCTTGTCTAATGGCTCAGTTGGTAAAGAATCTGCCTGCAATGCAGGAGATGCAGGCTCAATCCCTAGGTAGGGAAGATATCCTGGAAAAGGAAATGGCAACCCACTCCAATATTCTTGCCTGGAAAATCCCATGAACAGAGGAGCCTGGAGCCACAGTCCAAGGGGTCACAAAGAACTGGACTTAGCAACTAACCCACCACCACCAAAGAAGAAAGTTAAAATTCAACCACCTTAGAAACCACTATTAATACTTTGGTATGCATTTATTAAAAAAAAAAAAACAACAAGAATCACATAGTACAATTTCAACCACTTAAATGTATCATGAGCATTTTTCCATCCTTTAGTTATCTTTTGAAAACATGATTTGTGATGGCTTCAGAGTGTTACTGTGTTTCAAATGTGAGCATACAATTCTTACCCAAAATTCTGTGGTAAGGTCAACATTTCTCCCAACATTAAAATTTCTGCACCATTTACAGTTGAAGGATCATCTCTCATAAGTTGGTTAAAGAGATCTCCTATAGAAAGAGAAAAACATCAAATTCTAACATTGACCTTGTAAATAACTTATTTATGTGAAGAAATCGTTTTGAGAGATATTTTAAAAAATAATCTCACAGCAAAAATTATATTTAAAAAAATCTAATTTCTAACCTTCATTACAACAATGCACACCAAAAAATTCTGTTTCTATAGAAAATGAACACTTTAGGGACAAAGGAAAATGTAGGTCATGAGATATAAAATACAGAAGCTCCAATAATTTTAAACAAAGGGAATGCTAACATACATTGATGGAACATGTGAGGATAAACAAAATTTTAATAGCATTAATACAAGGAATGTGTTTTTACTAAAACTAAAAGTGTCTGTTGCCGTGGGATATCAATAGTATCTTGATTTATAGATTATGAGTGAGACTTACTGCTCAGATGGTCATATTTACATGTACAAAAACAAGCAATGAAGGATACAGCAAACAGTCAATGTAAGATTGGCAAGGCTAGGCTTATTCCCAAGGTAATACAACTCTTTCCTAGGTACAAGAAGAATAAAGTGTCATACCAGGTAAGTCTTTCTCTTCACATGTTACTGGAATATTGGTGAATAAAGTAGGCTTGGTCAACCGCATTACTGTCAATTAGAAAAGTAGGGAAAAAAAGAAAGAAAGTATTAATATTTTATGCCAGTGTTCCCAAGTTGAATCTATGATATTAATCAATTTTATACTACAGTAAAATATAATCTAAATACTACCTAAACTTAGTATAATATTATTTCCCAAGATTACTATACAGCAATAATTCACTCAAAATGTTAATATGTAACAAGAAGAATTTTATATATGACAAAAACAATTTTGCTTTTACTTACAATCTAAAGAATTATAAAAACCATATGCAAATGTAGTATGTCTCATTATACAAAAAGGAGAAAATAAAAGAACTTGAAAACTTCAGGTGCAGTAGGAGGACAGACTTTAAAAAGAGCCTGAGTGGCTTCACTGTGAACAATGCCAACAAATTATGATTAACCAACATTAGTCTGACAGGGAAAAACGTTAGGATGCCCCATTTTGAATATGAAACAACACTTTTACGCCAAAAGGATTTTTGTAAACTTTATCCATGTGTTATAATCATGGATCACTGAGGTTCAGTAAGTAGCCCTTTAAGTAATATTAATTCTCTGTAAACATTATGAAAGTATCAGTAAATGTGTAGGTTTATAGAATTCCAACCAAAACTAGTATTTGTCTGTGGAAAATGACAAAATGTATCTAAAGTTTATCTAGAAAAACAAATAAAAGCTATAGAAATTCATAGGAAACAATGAGAAAAAAATGGACATAATAGCAAAACATGTGAGTCCATAATCAACTAATAGGCTTATTAATATAAGACTATACAGATATGTTAGAAAATTTTAAGAAGCCAAACCAATCAATACTAATAGTATTAGGAAACTGGCTCACTATCTGGGAAAAATGAAATTTAGTTTACATTTTAAATATCAAATACTGTTATGTATCAAATAATAGACAAAAATTAAGTAATAGAGAACCAGAAAAAGTGAAAATTTATTACACCTAATCTAGCAAGGATAGGACATTCTAATTAAAAAATCTTTTTCAATTATTTCCAAAGATTACTTTTCACCGCATCAAAATAAAGACAAATATATAGAAGTAAAAATCATACAAACTCTATTACAGAAAATGAATCCTAGAACTTTTATTAAAATGTTCATTCAAATCTAAAACCCAAAACTTTATTGACCTAGGAGCTTCCCTGGTGGCTCAGTGGTGAAGAATTCAGCTGCCAAGGCAGGAGACATCGGTTCAATCCCTGATCTGGGAAGATCCCATATTCCATGGAGCGACTAAGCCTATGTGCCACAACTACTGAGCCTGTGCTCTAGAGAACTGCAGCCACAACTACCGAGGCCGCCGCGCATCTCTCATAGCACCTTATATTTATCATGAACTATGTTTACTCACTTATTAGTTTATAGCACTCCTATTCAAACTCCTTGTAGTTTAAGCTCTTATGTATCATGTTCAGTTTCATAGCCTTGCCACAGGTTCTTGCAGAATTAGCACCTCATGCCTAATCCTCGCGTAAGTGGTATTTTTGAAGATTTAACTTTCATGAATTGAGGTCATTAAACAATGTTATATTGAATAGATGGCTGCTGAGATAGTAAAAAAAAAAGCTAACCTTAAAATTTCTACAGCCACTTGTGTAGTTGATATTTACTGAACATTTACTAGTGCCAGACTTCATGCTAAATACAATGTACTGACACATTTAATTCTCAAAACTATAAGGTTGAAATTATCATTATCCCCTATAACAGATAAGGATGGTGCCTTGAGAAGGTAATTTATATATAAAAGATTATAAAGCAGATAGATGCCAGAACTAGACTCTGATGACTTCATTCTGCTCGAAAATAATTTTCCCTATTAGTAATTATAAGCCCAGGGTCATAAACCTGGAATGTCAAGCTTTATTAGAAACATCTCATGGGAATTCAAAGTCCATCTCTCTCTCAGAACATTAACGAGTTGCACATCAGTGACATGGAAAAGAAGTGAATGGGGAAGTGTTTCAAACCTCTTTCACTCTTACTTTTAACTAGGAAAACAGATTAAAACCTGAAGAGGATACAGGCATTTGATTTACATTTGATTATGAAATTCAGATTTCAGCTAAAATTTTCCAAAAAAAAAAAAACTTTTAAAAGTCTTCAATAAATTAAAATATTAAAAAAAGGTAGGCTTGATGTTATTAATTAATGAATGAGGCTAGTTCAACTTGCATATACATTCATCTTGGCCAGAACATTAAAAAAAATTATGTCGAATCCTTAGAATTCTTACCATATTTAGTTTTACTTGTCTAGTTCCTGAAGGCATTCAATTTTGTGAACCTTGGAATAATCTGGGATATTTTGAGCAGATTAAATAAGTGATTCATGCAGGAACACATCTGAGAAATTCATGTGATACCCTTCACATCTGTTTTCTTGGAATGAATTACATTCATTACATTGACAGAGAAAAATAAAATTATGGTATTGCTTCTTTCCTAGAGAGTAAATGCTTTGGGATTCTCCGGGCCAGAATACTGTAGTGGGTAGCCGCTCCCTTCTCCAAGGGATTTTCCCAACCCAGAAATAGAACCAGGGTCTCCTGCACTGTAGGCAGATTCTTTCCCAGCTGAGCTACCAGGGAAGCCCTAAATGCTTTGGCATTTCACCAAATGCCCTCAGATTCACCTTCCTGTACATGTTTTTGTTTCCTCAACTTATTCACATTGATGACTTAACAGTGGAACCTACAAATATTGCTGAGCCATACTATTAGTGCTAGAATCATCAGTCCCAAGGCTTTAAATACTCTTAAGAAGGCTTCAAAGATGTGGCAGTGCACTCTCAAACCTTTAAGTATTGTCTAGGAAGATAAGAAATGAATTGCTTCTTCCTTTAAGATGACATTATTTGCAGTAAAACTCATTTTCCCAGTTCTGATTCACCTTTTCATTGTTTCTCAAAAGGGAAGAAAGCAATCTATATAGAGTAAATTAGAGAAATTTACATCTGCCACATAAGACGAAGAAGCTCTTTTTAATGTGATTCTTGAATTAAAGAGCTGCTCATAAGAAGCTCATAAGAAAATATTCCTAAGAATATTTCAGTTCTGTGTATCATCATTTTAAAATAATAAGAATGTATTATAAAAGAAACACTGTGGTCTATGTAAGTGACCCTGTCTTATGATTACTTAACTTTTACCCCTTGATTAACAACCTAATGCTGTGTAAGACCTGAACAACAACAAAAATGTTTATGATTGCCTAATAACATTGTTGCTGCTGTTTAGTCACTAAGTCACATCCGACCCTTTTGTGACTCCATGGACTGTAGCCCACCAAGCTCCTGTCCATAGGATTTCCCAGGCAAGAATACTGGAATGTGCTGCCATTTCCTTCTCCAGGGGATCTTCCCGACCCAGGGATCGAACCCTGTTCTCTTGCATTGCAGGCAGTTTCTCTCCCACTGAGCCACCTGCAAAGATCGCTGGTAAAAATGAATAATTTCTGACTTTTCACCAGCAGTTTTGACTGCAAAGATGATTAATGAAAGAGGAAGTAATTACTGAAGAAGTTATCTTGGAAACTCCCTCTATACCCGGTGATTTTTTTCATTTGAAGATTTTTGGAAGCATTCATGTACATGATGATTGTTTTCTACAGAGCAGTCTCCTTTGAGACAATAAAAAAGGTGCTAATAGTTGAAAAGAAAAAAGTGTTTGAACAGTGTGAAACCTAATTAGAAAAGATAACCTCTTCAGTTAAAAACTGGTAGACTTCTCAGGTTTTAAGGAACCTCAAGAGGCATGTTATGAGAAACCCTCCAAAGGACACATTTACCTTGCCAGGCACTTTGCCACAAGGCAAGCATGTTTTTGCCTTCCTAATGAATATAGTCTTACTGATTTTTTTTACAGATAGACTTTAAATATTAATAATAGTGTCTATATGTTAGCTCTGTGAGGGCAGGGTCCATATTTGTCCCTTCTCCACTTTACTCTAGCACCTATTTCATGGTAGGCATTCAAATTTGTTAAATATACTTTCTAATAAAACTTTTATTATATAACCACTTTGGAGATTTTTATAAAATGATGTGTAAATCCATTAACATTTTGTTATGGGAAACCCACAGTGAGCCCAAGACCCAGAGAACTAGTGATCAGCATTACCAATATTAGACTGAATTATCTGTATTAAACAAAGAATAAATTGATCTCTTATCCATATTTGATACTTCACTTAAAAAAATGTTTATTGCCTTAAATATATATTACGGTCTTAGACAAATTATACATTTTGTACTTTTGTTTCAAAACAGCACATCAGCCATCGTCTATTACATATCTTTGGCCATAATAAGCAGAATATGGGCTGGTCTTTCAATCTGAATTACATTATGCCACATGAGTTACATTCCCAACAGAACTGGTTTCAGTTTTATTTAAAAAAAAAATCATTACACTTCAGGCGAGTTAAGAAAAAAATCCTATAAAATTAGATTCTGGGGATTTACCAAAATCCAAACCATTCACTGTAATTCACAGGAATATCTAATTGAACTAGTGGAAAAGCAGTAACAGAACAAAAAGAGTAGAACATTTTACCTCTAAATTCAGTTTGAATAATAATTCATCACAATTCATTTAAAGGAAAGCCGCTCAAAGCAGAACCCAGAAAGTTCCTGACCTAATTGGAAAGCCTAGGAATGCACCTGATATTTACTTCTGGGACACAAATTGTATACATAACCACACACTTAAAAATTTATTCATCTGTTTCACTTCCTACTCGGTTCATTCAGAATATTCTTTTTTTGGATAATCACTGTAATTCATTACATACTAAAAACAACACCATATTTATGCACAAATAAATTAATTTTCCCAGTAAGAGCTAATCTTCCTTTAAGATGATTCCCCACATATTCACAGTACATAATATCACAGAACACCCATATCTGGCCTAAATGTCTCTGAATTGTAGCATTACAAGATGGAAGTTCATTGTGCCTGATAATTCGATTGAGTTTTGCCCAAACGTCTTCCAGAGTCTGGTTGTTACAAATAGTGTGATCTATTGTCCATCTTGCTCTATAAAATGAGTGCAAATTTAGTGCCTTTAGATTATCTTGCAATTTTTTAGACAAAGGAAAAACATTTTCAGTACAATTACTGCTGGGAAGTGATGATACACTCCAAGACCTTTTCTTGTGCCGTTTTTCTTTTTCTGCCTGTTTCTCTAGACTTCCAGAATTAGTCTGTTCATTCAGCGTGTATGATTGGATTAAGTGCTTCTTTCTTTTCAAATTGGGTTGAAACTCCAACAGATCTACTGTGCAATCATAACTCTGTGATTTAATACTACATTCTGAAATGGCTAAGTACTGTCTCACATCTTCAGCTGCCTCTTCAGAAATCCCAGGCGGTGATCTTTTAGGTTTCAGTGGAAGTCTGGACCCATCATGTGGAAACCAAGGAATAAATCTCAATAGCGGACGTGTAGGAAAGTCTTGAATTGCTTTCTCTGCAATTTTTGGCAGTTGTGTGGGATCACTCTCATATGGTCGATAATGTAATATTACTTCTGTAGTCATTCTGCAGTAATCCTTCTATTCTTAATGAAGAGAAAATTTCTTAGCTGAGCTCCTCAGAGCTAGAATGTAATTTATAATTACAAGACTCTCTCTTTCCAAATCAGAGGGAAACAGGACCTAAAGTGGAAGTATTACAAAGAATAAGATATAGCAGGGACAGCCTATATACAGATAGGCAGGGAAAAAAAGAAAAAAAAAAACCAATTCTAATATGATATTTTATCAAAGTGTTACTGGTAAATGTGAATGCAGTCCACAAAACTGGAAGCCCTTTCTCTCAAGAAAATAAGGAATCTGGATTACATACCCTTAACATCCTTTTAGCTTAAAACTTCTACTAATCAACATATTTAACTGAACAGATGTAACAGATTTGGAAGTACTGCTATTAACATATTAATATATAATCTTAACACTATAGCAAAAACAAAAGGTAAATTAAGATTTTAAAAATACTACAGTCACATGAAGATAATGAACAAAAGTGCAATACTACTTAAAAATCTGAAATGTGAATTGAGGACAACAAAAATCACTGTAATTTTTAATCTACCTTGAAGAAAATGGATCCTCTCATACTTTAAAATTACCTGAATTCTACCAAATAGAATACTTAAATGATTTTATTTCATTCTCAGAAGTAAACACTTGAAGTGGAAATGCAAATTAAAACATGAAAATGGTTTAACCTTGCATTTTAATCAGACTAGGAACTAGTTTCATGACAAAGTCTCATCTATATAACTGAGGCACTTAAGCAGTGTCAAAACCTTAGCAGCATGGATCCTGAATTACAGTTGGGAGGATGAACAGGAAGGCTAGAGCCTTAGAGCCTTAACTCCTCTTAGAACACAGAACTCTTCAAGTTACACCAAATCAAGTCATCGAAAGTAAGTGCCAGTACACAACACACAGTTCAATAATGGAGCCTTCTCTGGATCTGCAAGTTAGACTTCCTAATTGGGCCCAAAGCTGCGAAAGTCATAATGTAGGCTCTTTTAAATCTTAGCTTCTGGAGTTAAAAACAAGAGGTTGGGGCTTCCCTGGTGGCTCAGTGGTAAAGAATCTGGCTGCTAATGCAGGAGACACAGGTTTGATTCCTGATCTGGAGGTCCCATGTGTGGTGGAGCAACTATGCTCCTATGGCACAACTCCTGAGCCTGCGCCCTGCAGCAAGAGAAACCACCAAGGTGAGAAGCCCGCACACTGTAACAAGAGGGCAGCCCCCGCCCGCCGCAACCAGGGAAAAGCCCGAGCAGCGATGAAGACCCAGCACAACCGTGTGTGCGCTTAGTCGCTCAGCTGTGTCCGACTCTTGCGACCCCATAGACCGTTGCCTGCCAGGTTCCTCTGTCCATGGGACTCTCCTAGCAAGAATACTGAAGTGGGTTGCCATTTCCTTCTCCACGGGACCTTCCCCACCCAGGAATCGAACCCGGGTCTCTTGTACTGCAGGCAGACTCTGTACCGACTGAGCTATGAGGGATGCCCTAGCACAGCAATAAATAAGTAAAAATTTAAAAACCAACAAAAAAGAGGTTGAATCATTTCTTCCAAAAATCATTAGAGAACTACGCGATGACGGTTCTCCCGTTGCCACGATGACTGTGAGTGGAGGCTCCCTGTCATGACGTCACAACACTCATTTGACCAATGTTCTGAAAAGTCAAAAGTAACCAATCTCATAATGATTCTTTTCCCTACTCTTAATGTTCACTGACTAACAGATTTGACAACTCTTAAATTCGAAATGACTGTGATCCTTAACATCCATTTTTAACATGGTTCTAAATATAGATAGCATATTCTTTCACAGACTTAACAATGCTTTCAGTTTTACTTCCTTTAATTTTTACATTCCAAGATATGGCATTGAGAATTCTTTCACTGTTGTCTGAGCTTATTCAGTGTTGTATTCCAGGGACACTGAAGTTGTGGGAACGCGTTAATATTTTATAAATATATGAAAGCAAACTGATATATTTGGCATTCAATGATTAGAACTTGTGAAAATTCTTGGATAATTAGGACAATGGAGAAAATGGGTCCAAAGAGCTTTAAGAAAGCTGAAACTAACAGTGACTTTCAAAGAACTTGTCCTTTCAGGTTGCCAAAATACTCCTTCTCAGGAACCTTCTGTTTTGGAAAATAAAAAATACCTGGCTGGGAAAGACTACTGTAGCAGCCTAAAATGACAATGGCAGTTAGCCTCCACATCACTGGAATTTAACTGTATATAATATCCTTGAATGTGTATAAAATGACATCTAGTAGCTAACAGAACTTCTCCAAATTCCCATCAAAATATTAAGGGAATGAGAGCATCTGAAAATGCTCTTTCCTTCATTTGGGGGCAACATGGAGTCTTCGAAAGATGAAGGTCTAATGTTGAAATAACCTCAATCATCAGCTTTGTGATCTGGAAAAAGTTTAACTGGGAGTTAAGCAATATATATTCTACATATCTGATATAAGACTGAGATTAAAAAACATGACAATTTCTCTTCTTTCTTTCAGAAATAAGCCATTTTAGAACAGGCCATTTGCTCAGGCTAAGCTCACAGGTTTACTGCTATTAGTTAACATTTCAAATTCTTAGTTCCACAGTCAGAGACAGTTCTGATGACCCCAACTATCAGTACATGCTTTTTGTACAAATGAAACTGATGAGCTTCTGGAATGTCTGATGCTTACAGCATAAGTGAGGGGATAAGAATCCCTCAAAATGGATACCACAAGAAAGGTTAAGTGCACTTCAGCTGAATTCACATGTCTACCAAGCATCTTCTCAGTTCAGTCCAAGAAGATATTGGTAACCACAGAGTAGTGCGCCCAAGGAATAAGTCCATATGTGGCAGTAGAAAACAGATGAAATAAAGCTAAAGGCATTTCAAATAAAAGATCTCAGAGAACAATCTGAGATCCTCAGAACAATTCCTCAGAGATCTCAGGAATTTTAGAGAAAGTATGTCATGCTGATTCTCCCTAAATAATAACCCAATCAAATCATCAAACTTACTCAAAACTGTATGCTGTACACAGAAAATGAAAATTGATACCAATTTTCCCATACACAATACCCTGAAGTAAACTGCAGTGAGTTTTAACGAACCTAGATTATATGTTGTAGTACTACGCATTTCTAAATGCTTGGCACAATACTAGACTAATTTCACAGGTAAAGCTGAAGCCTGGTAAATTTGTCACTGCCGAATGAAGAGACAAGAAACGGGAGGAAAAACCACTTTAGATACCCGCTATTAATCATCTCGGTTCACACACGGCTCTCCCCGGGTAGGGTGGGAACTTCAGCATCTGCGGCTAAAATCTGTTTGGTGGCTTCAGCAACATATAACAGGGTAAGTAATTTACCAGGTATCTATTTCATTCTAAGCGGAGTAGGAAATGGCAACCCACTCCAGAATTCTTGCCTGGAAAATCCCAAGGATAAAGAGCCTGGCGGGCTATAGTCTATGTAGTTGCAAAGAGTCGGACATGACTGGCTGACTTAGCACACATATTCCATTCCGTCGCAGGGAAGAAAGGGGGTCTCAAACCTAAAAAGAGAAGAAGAAAATAGCTTCCTATCGCTCCACGGCAAGAAACTGAACAGGAGGGCGAGCACTGACTGTTTTAAGGAAAACGAGGTCTACATCCCAGGGGCCAGGTCTACGTGCCAAAAGCTGCAAGAACTAGGGAGAAAAGGGGAGAAAACAGTGTAGAGGGAGCCGGGTTCGCAAAAATTTACCTTTCAGGGCCAGTAGGTGCTCCTGTTTGGGGGGATTCACCTCCATTTTGACCGGCACTTTGAACCCACTGCCTACGGAGGCTGAAGAGGTTCACTTAGCTCGGAAAGAAAACAGAAAGCGCACGTTCCGGAAGACAGGGCATCACATTCCCAGTAGTTTCTTCTCTGCTGGTGGTGCCTTCAATTCTCTTCTTACCACGTCCTTTAGCGACTCAACGGCTTCTTTTTACCAAAGCCATCTCTTGCCTCTTAGAGACTATACATAAAATACTTCTCTAATCACACACCGCGACTTCAAGAAACCACTCCTCGGAGACAATACGCCGCCCTGCAAATACCTACATCTCCGAGTAAATGCTGTAGAATGTGGCATGCTGGGATTTGTAGTTTCAAAAGCCGCATGGCATGCAGGGAGATGCAGTCTCCTTTCGTCCAGTCCATTTTACAACTAGGGAGAAAAGATCGTTACTGGAGCAAGAATTTCACCCCCAAACCTTACTTCTGTTTTAGCCCTTATTTTTTGCTTTAATTTTACTCCTCCCATCAATCTGATGGATGTCTGACGGAGACTGAAAATCTCCAGACTCTTTAATAAAACAACAAAGCTCCCATACGCAAGCTTCTGCTAGCGTGAGGAGGGTGCAAGGAAGCTGCCTCAGCTGCGCCCGGCGTTGTACTGCGCCTGTGCGCCAGCGGCAAGCGCCGAGGCTTCTGGGTAGGTGGCTTTACCCCGCCTCTCCTGTGTAGGCCTTCGCGGCTGCTTCAGTGGCGAGGCTCCTCCTAGGATGGCTGCTCAGGTTGTAAACAAGCCTGGAGCGGGACTAGACAGTGGTCGTCAGGGCAGCCGGGGGACGGCCGTGGTGAAGGTGAGGGACCTTGCGTGCTCTGTTCTCCGCCATCGGCCTCTCTTCGGTTCATCCCGGAGATCTGGCTTTTTTTGGGCGGGTTGCGCGGACTCGGGTCCCTTTAGGCTTTACAAGCCTATGCTTCCCCTCCGGACCTTTATCCCTGCAGGCCTGAGGTTACCTGGCCTCCTGGTCATTCTAGTCTTCTCTAGTCGCCAACGGGGACTTTTGTGAAAAGGAGCCGATAGGCCTGTGAGAGTGACCTGGGCTGATCTTTCCCCAGGCCCTCTGTTTTTAGCTAAGCCCAACAGGCATTAATAAGCTTATTTTTATGAAATTGATCCATTATTATTGACTGATACTATTTTAGATATTTTACCTCGTTAGTATCTATTTATGAAGTAATTGTTGATTGTGGTTTTACAAGTGAGGAAACTCAGGTTTCGGTTAACACTGTAGCTGAGCCACAGTTGACTGCTCTGAGTTATTCTTTTCGTTACTGCACTACTTTGTAATCAGACCTCTGTTATTGGTTGACCTGCCCTCCTTTTTTGGTAGTACGGGTGTGTCAACAGCCCCGTTAATGCTCGGCAATATGAATTACCCTGTGTTTGAAGTTTGAAATTCTGCCATATTTAAATGCTCTAAAATGGGTTTACCAAAAATTCAGTTGAAATAAGGTAGAATTCAATTTTCCGTATATAGATAGATCTGGAAGGGAGAACTGATTTTAATAACCTTCAGAATCCCCTGTAATCTCAGATAGTGGTAATTCTTATTCCTGGTTACATATTACTGAGGACTTGCAAAAAAAAAAAACACAAACGATTTAATCCCCCAGTTCTGCTTAAGTTGATATCAGTATTTTTTTTTTTGCATTCCCAGAATGCTTTTAATGTGCAGCTAGGGTTCAAAACCATTGGAGGAGATATCTGAAGTTCTTTTAAGGTCTTGAGTAATAGGCACCTGTGGTTTTTCATCTAATGTTGGTTTCATATGACAGCGAATGATACATTTTTGCCTTCAACTGTATTATCGATCAGTATTGGTGGTGGTTGATTCATCTTTTAAATATTAATAAAGTTATTTTGAAGATACATAGCATATCTGAGATGTGAAGGTGCCCTCATTATTTGGCTTGTATGGTTGAGATTTTATTTGTTGAATTGTGCTTTTTCTAAGTAGAGAATACCTGAAGATTATTTTGTGAAATAACTTGAATTAAGAAGTAATAGGAATAGATATTACTGCTGTGTCTGTTTTTGTTACCTTGTTTGCCTTAAAATCTGAAAAATATACCAAAACCTGACGTAACTCCAGTTTATTAACGCACAGAGTTTGATAAATTAGAGGCTCATTTTGTTAATTTTCATTTTTATATGTAAAATGTGACTGAGATGTGCAATAGGATAGTCCTTGGTGGCAAGATCCTCATGCTGTAATTTGTAAGATAAATTACAAATTAAATTTTCAAAAATCTCATGGCCATTGTTATAGATGAAAGCAAGAAGTGTTCATTGGAAGGTGAAAGTTGAAATTTAGAATGCTGATGTTTGCATATGTAAAATGACTTCCTGCTTAATGAACAAGTTGATATTGATAGAGTTTTCTCGTTAGGAAAAACAGACAAAAATTGGGTATGAAATTATTTATGTTCACAAAAGAAGTGTGAGCTGCCTTAGTCCTGTGAAAATATGGCCTGCTTTATTAAAATTTAATTTACATGTGATAAGTTTGAATCCTCTTCGGTAGATTGTGAAGTTTGTAAAACTAAGAGCTTTTTTCCTATCTAGGACTTAAATTCTTATGCTGTTAGCCACAATTCCTATTCATAAATACTGAAGAAAAAAATTTCTTACTCTATTATTTACTGAGATGAGGCAGAATAGTCTAGTAACTGTGGTTTACTAATCAATGGAATTTTACTAGTGCTTTTTGGAAAAAACCTATGGTAGTAACATGAGTGATGATGCTGTTAAAGATACAAGATAAGAATGAGAAAAGTAAAATTTTAATTTGGTTCTTTGGAGCTTATTGTCATATATAATTGTAATATATTATGGTGTCTCTGTAGTGAGAACATTTATTTTAAATGTTGCACTTACTTTGTAATATCTAATTTCTATTGTGAATGTCTTTTCTGTAATTTGATATTGAAGATTTTTTTCTTTTGTTCTTAAGTGAAGATATTTAAGTGATACTTTTTTACTGACTAGTTAAAAAAAATGCAGGATAATATGAAGTGTGTATATTGTATATATGTGTGTGTAAATATACATTAGTTCAGTTAGTTCAGTCACTCAGTCATGTCCCACTTTTGTGACCCCATGAATCACAGCACGCCAGTCCTCCCTGTCCATCACCAACTCCCGGAGATTATTCAAACTCATGTCCATTGAGTCGGTGATGCCATCCAGCCATCTCATCCTCTGTCGTCCCCTTCTCCTCCTGCCCCCGATGCCTCCCAGCATCAGGGTCTTTTCCAATGAGTCAACTCTTCGCATGAGGTGGCCAAAGTTTTGGAGTTTCAGCTTCATCATCAGTCCTTCCAATGAACACCCAGGACTGATCTCCTTTAGGATGGACTGGTTGGATCTCCTTGCAGTCCAAGGGACTCGCAAGAGTCTTCTGCGACACCACAGTTCAAAAGCATCAATTTTTCGGCGCAGCCTTCTTCACAGTCCAACTCTCACATCCATACATGACCACTGGAAAAACCATAGCCTTGACTAGATGGACCTTTGTTGGCAAAGTAATGTCTCTGCTTTTTAATATGCTATCTGGGTTAGTCATAACTTTCCTTCCAAGGAGTAAGCGTCTTTTAATTTCATGGCTGCAGTCACCATCTGCAGTGATTTTGAAGCCCAAAAAAAACAGCCCACTGTTTCCCCATCTATTTGCCATGAAGTGATGGGACCAGATGCCATGATGTTAGTTTTCTGAATGTTGAGCTTTAAGCCAACTTTTTCACTCTCCTCTTTCACTTTCATCAAGAGGCTTTTTAGTTCCTCTTCACTTTCTGCCATAAGGGTGGTGTTACCTGCATATCTGAGATTATTGATATTTCCCCCGGCAATCTTGATTCCAGCGTGTGCTTCTTCCAGCCCAGCGTTTCTCATGAGGTACTCTGCATATAAGTTAAATAAGCAGGGTGACAATATACAGCCTTGATGTACTCCTTTTCTTATTTGGAACCAGTGTATTGGCCCATGTCCAGTTCTAACTGTTGCTTCCTGACCTGCATATAGGTTTCTCAAGAGGCGGGTCAGGTGGTCTGGTATTCCCATTTCTTAGAATTTTCCAGTTTATTGTGATCCACACAGTCAAAGGCTTTGGCATAGCCAATAAAGCAGAAATAGATGTTTTTCTGGAACTCTCTTGCTTTTTTGATGATCCAGTGGATGTTGGCAATTTGATCTCTGGTTCCTCTGCCTTTTCTAAAACCAGCTTGAACATCTGGAAGTTCACAGTTCACATATTGCTGAAGCCTGGCTTGGAGAATTTTGAGCATCACTTTACTAGTGTATGAGATGAGTGCATTTGTGCAGTAGTTTGAGCATTCTTTGGGATTGCCTTTCTTTGGGATTTAAATGAAAACTGACCTTTTCCAGTCCTGTGAACACTGCTTAGTTTTCCCAGTTTGCTGGCATATTGAGTGCAGCACTTTCAGAGCATCATCTTTCAGCATGTGAAATAGCTCAACTGGAATTCCATCACCTCCACTAGCTTTGTTTGTAGTGATGCTTTCTAAGGCACACCTGACTTCACATTCTAGGATGTCTGGCTCTAGGTGAGTGATCACACCATCATGATTATCTGGGTCGTGAAGATCTTTTTTGTACAGTTCTTGTGTGTATTCTTGCCACCTCCTCTTAATATCTGCTGCTTCTGTTAGGTCCATACCATTTCTGTCCTTTATCGAACCCATCTTTGCATGAAATACTCCCTTGGTATCTCTAATTTTCTTGAAGAGATCTCTAGTCTTTCCCATTCTATTGTTTTTGCCTGTTTCTTTGCATTGATCTCTGAGGAAGGCTTTTTTCTCTCTCCTTGCTATTCTTTGGAACTCTGCATTCAAACATACATATATATGTGATTTATGTGTAGTTATTCCCCAGCTGTTTCCATTCTTCAAAGAGAACTACAGTTCCAATGTAATGTTTCTTGTGTATCATGCCAGAAAGATAGTATGCTTGTAAAATAATATATATATAAATATATATTCTCTTTAGCTCCCCGAAGGTAGTATACTTGCAAAACAGTGTATATAAAAAATGTGCCTCTTTTATATCTTCTCCATCATGCAGAAGTTAAATATTTTATATGTCATTTTTCACTTTGCTTTATTGATATGGAATCATACTGTGTATAAATAAAAAGTTTCCTAACTTTTCCTCCCTAGCCTGCATGTGTGCGTGCGTGCTCAGTCGTGTCCAGCCCTGCGACTCTATGGACTGTAGCCCGTCAGGCTTCTCCTCCATGGGATTTTCCAGGCAAGAATACAGGAGTGGGTTGCTGTTTCCTCCCTCAGGGGATCTTTCCAAGCCAGGAATTGAACCTGCGTCTCCTGCGTTTCCTGCATTGCAGGTGGATTCTGTACTGCTGAGCCATCAGGGAATCTCCCCACTAGACTGCATAGTTTTGCAGTGTATGAATGTTGCTTAATTTATTTTCTGTGTATATTTACTTTGTTTTCAGTATTTTGCTAATGCAAAAGATGCTTGAAAGAATGATATATATTCTTATACATATGTGATACATTTATAGGGTAAATTCCTGAAAGTAGAATTACTAAGCTATTCATATTGTTGATAGGTTTTGTCAAATTGCCTTCCATGGGGGCTATATCAGTCAATACACAGTTCACAGCAACCGGCAGTTTATCTACTCTCCCACACTTTCATCAGTAGAAAGTGTTACCCGCTTTTTAAAATATAATCTGAAAAAAGTATATTGGTATAACTTCGACTGATTTCAAAATGTTTTGAGTGAGATTGGACATCTTTTCGTATAATTAAAGATCTGTTTTCATTGCCTTTTTCTGTGAACAATGTATTACATTTAAGCTTCTTCTGGACCATACTGGGATGCAAGCCAGTCATGACTTATCAGTTTATTTACAGTGAGAAACATTAGCATTTCATGTGCTGACTCCAGCTTGATTGTAGAGTTAATATTAAAGTTTTACTGGATTAAGTCTGATTTTCACTCTGGGTTTTCTGTGTGTGTTTGTTTTTTTTTTTTTAACCTTGTGGTATGTATTTGTTGGGGGGTGGTGGTTGGCTGAACTGTTTTAAAATTTTTATTTTGTTGGACTTTATTAACCTAAGCACATTGGTGCTTGGTATTTGGAATACCCTATTCCTGAGGGCTTTGGTCTAACAGGGTAAAACAGGCTGGAAAGCCAATTAAAGTATTAAAAGTGTTTTGGGTATTGAGATTAACACTTATCCATGGTACATGGGAACCCTAAGGATAGTGTGTTTATCTAGGAATTTGTGTGTTTATTAATGTAAAAAAAGAATCCCTAGGAAAATGTCTGTTTAGCTGTTTCTTCAGTGTTAACGTAAAGAAAGAGGCAAAAACAGTTTGGTATGTGCTGTGAACTGCAGGTTATTTGATACAGTTTGAGAATAGAATTTGAATGAGAAGAGAAGCAATAGAACAGCAGCCGTGCTGCGTTAGGTCACAGATGGTGGTCCTGGAATTTGGGGTATGATCAAACAGTTCAGTGTGGGTATGTTTAAAAAATTTATTAAATTGTGAAAAACTTCAAATATATTAAGAAATAACCTTCATTGATATAAATATAGTTTGTTGACTAATTATAAAACAAACTCATGGGCTGAAGAATTAGAATATGCCAATTCTTGTCACCCTTCTTTTTTTTTTTAATTGAAGTATGCCTTTTTTTTTTTCTTTTTTACTTGAAGTATAGTTGATTTGTCATCTTTCCTATGACTGACTCCATGGACTTTCATAAGTCAGGTACCTGTGATTGGAACTAGATAAACAAAAAACTTTCTAACCCAGGGACATTATTAATTGAGAACAAGGAATTGAAATTTAAGTCTAACTGCATTCTTACATTGTATGATGTAAGTGTATGTTAGAAGATACTTGAAAATTACTCATAGTCTTGTCTTAACAACTTCTTTATCATTTACAAGGTAAGTTGTCATCCTAGCACATTTATCAAATTATTTTTGTCCATATTAATGATGGGTTTTCTGAGAGTTAGTTAATTGCAGAGAAATTGTTTAAGAACCCACCTTTGGTAGAGTTATATACTGTTAGGGATTCACATATAATGAATCATGTCATAATTTTCAAAACTTAAGATGTTAACTTACAACATTATTTTGATCCCTGACACTTATCCTTCCAAGGAGATTTCACTGTGATGTAATTTTGGTGAGATCTGTCAGATGAAGTGACAAAAGATGATTTAAGATTTTACACCTAGACAGTTTTTTTTTCATGGAGGAATAAAGTAACTTAAGAAGATTGATTCATTAAATAAGATCAGACTTTTTTTTTAGCTTAAAATATTTATGCTTTGAAGTCATTTAAAGAGCACATGTGTTCTTTCCCATTATTAGGTGCTGGAATGTGGAGTTTGTGAAGATGTCTTTTCTTTGCAAGGAGACAAAGTTCCTCGCCTTCTGCTTTGTGGCCACACAGTTTGTCATGACTGTCTCACTCGACTGCCTCTTCATGGAAGAGCAATCCGTTGCCCTTTTGATCGGCAAGTAACAGACCTAGGTAGGAAAAAAATACATATATATAATTGTTCATGTAATACAAATGTCATAGTAGACAATTTCTTCCTGCTTGATTTTAAAAATTATAAAATTCTGGGAGTTCCCTGGCAGTCCAGTGGTAAGGACTCTGTGCTTCTACTGCAGGGTGAATGGGGTCTTTTCCTGATTGGGAAACATGGTAATGTGTGGCCAAAAAAATAAAAAGAAACATAAAATTCCAAGAAGGTTTCAGTTTCTTTTAAAACCAGTAGTCCTGAAGCTATAAACTAACCCACTCTTAGGGGCTAACTTTATTTCATCTTGTGGGATTTTTATATTCAGTACTTATAGATCAATAGTTTTAAGACACCTGAGAAAGTTATGCTAACCTTTTCCAATTTGCTGTAAAACAGGGTTTACCTTAGAGAAGAATAGGCCATTAAGGAAAATACAGATAAGTACTTGGAGTTTCAACATGTTATTTATTGATATCAGAGACAGAAGTATTTTTAGCATTTGATAACTACTAACTACTTCTTGTTCTCTGTTAAGATGTATTTAAAGGTCTGATGGATTTTTTTCAGTTTTTTGCATACTTTTAAAACTTTGCTTTATAGTTTTCAAAATGAGTTATTACAAAAAAACAAAAAACACAATGAGTTATTACTATAGGATATCAGATTTGGAAATGACATTTATTAACATTTGAACAGTTATCTGACAACTATAAATTCTATGTTTATTTTTTTTTAATGGTGGAATTTTCTCCAAAATTAATAGTTTAAGGTTGTCATTTATTTTTAGTTCAGTAGCACTGTTTAAGACTGTTCAGACTGTATATCACATGGAACACATTTGAAATAATTAAATTATCGGGAAAACAAGCAAGAGTACTCACATTTTTAAACCAGAAAGCTTTAAAATGCTAAGAAACATTTTAAAATATTATCTTATAAGTGTAGGATAGAATGGGTTTTTTGATTTTGGTAGACTTTGATCTAACTAAGTAGTATTCTCATTTGCCAGAAAACGAATATGAGACAGTGTTAGTATTATTATGGGTAGCATATAAGGTTCAGGGGGGAGATGTCTTTAGTTTGACATTGTTTTTATTGTCCTTTTATTCTGTAATTTATATATATTATACCATCTTCTTTATATAAAACTGTATAGACATAGCAATACTTTGCAAATGTAAGATGGACCCTTTCTTCCTCTTGAAGGGCACTGTATACCACAGTGTGGGTTGTTACTACCCTCACTGTGATAAACTAGGAATTCGTGACAGATAATGGTTAGTGATAGCCTAGTTGAAATCAATCAAATCAATAACTTTGCCTTGAATGTAGGTTGTGATTTCTGTGTTCTTGTTCAGTGACTAAGTCATGTCCAGTTCTTTGTGACCCTATGGACTGTAGCACACCAGGCTTCCCTGTCCTTCACTATCTCCTGGAGTTTGCTCAAACTCATGCCCATTGAGTTGGTGATGCCATCCAACCATCTCATCCTCTGTTGAGGATCCATCTCATCCTCATCAGCTTCTTATCTCATCCTTCTCTGCCTCTGCTCAATCTTTCCCATCTTCTGGGTCTTTTCTGGTGAGTTGGATATTCACTTCAGCTGGACAAAGTATTGGGCCTTCGGTTTCAGCATTAGTCCTTCCAATGAATATTCAGGGTTGATTTCCCTTAGTATTGACTGGTTTGATCTCCTTGCTCTCCAAGGGACTCTCGAGAGTCTTCTCCAGCACCACAATTTGAAAGCATTAGTTCTTCAGCGCTCAGCCTTCTTTATGGTCCAGCTCTCACATCTGTACATGACTACTGGAAAAACCATAGTGTTGACTATATGAACCTTTGTCGGCAAAGTGATGTCTCTGCTTTTTGATACACTGTCTAGGTTCATCATCGCTTTTCTTCCAAGGAGCCACTGTCTTTTAATTTCATGGCTGCAGTCACTGTCTGCAGTGATTTTGGAGCCTGAGAAAATAAAGTAGGTCACTGTTTCCACTTTTTCTCCATCTATATGCCATTAAGTGATGGGACTGGATGCCATGATCTTAGTTTTTGAATGTAGAGTTTAAGCCAGCTTTTTCTCTCTCTCCTCTTTCACCCTCAAGAGGCTCTTTAGTTCCTTCTCGTTTTCTGCCATTAGAATGTTGTCATCCACATATCTGAGGTTGTTACTATTTCTCCTGGCAATCTTGATCCCAGCTTGTGATTCATCTAGTCTGGCATTTTGCATGATGTATAGTAATTACTATACCTTGTAGCTTAGAATTTTACTCTAATTCAAGCCTATGGAATATGTGTTAATGACCCTTGATATAGTTTGATGTCATTATTTTTTAATTTGTGTTTAAAATCTATTATAGAAATTATATATATATATATATATAAACTGCATAAAATTTGGAAAATCTGTTAAAAAGTATAACAAAAATCATTTGTATATCCTGCTTATAAAATCAAGTTACTGTTTTTTTTCTTTTCCATTATGACTTATTACAGGATATTGAATAGAATTCTCTGTGCTATACAGTAGGACCTTGTCATTTATCCATTCTATATGTAATAGTTTACATCTACTAATCCCAAACTCCCAAGCCATCCCTCCCTTCTACAACCCCAGTCCCCATGAAATGCTGTTAATATGAAAGAATCAAAATTAGAATTCTTCTTTAGTATCAGTTGTTGTTTATCATAGTTGTTAGTACTGGTCAGCATTATTTATGGTTCTTCTCTTCTTTCCTCATGGTAAAATTACACCTCCCTACTCTCTTATGATCAGGTAGGCAGAGCTGTGTGATTTTCCTTTAACTAGTGAAATTATGAGTAGAAGTGAAATGTTAACTTCTAGGTAGAAGCTGTTAAGAATGGATTTATGATAGTTTGTAATAAATCATTTTTCCTGCTATAGTGAGGTGATACAGGTGGTTGGAGCCTCAGTGGCCTGTGTCCTTGATCATGGACAGTAGGGAACAGAATCTCTCATGTCTTCACCAACCCCTGAGATGTTATATGAGCAGAAAGCAAATCTTCGTTGTTTTAAGTCATTGAGATATTAGATTTATTTTGATAGTCATAGAAAAATTAAGTCATATCTTAGGCAGTAGATAGATACTGTTTAAATACTACTAGGAGTTTATGTGTTTGTGTTTAATATATAAAGTATTTGGATACTGTCAAGATAATACTTTTAAATAAAGGACTTAGTGTACTTCTTAATCTTTTATAAACAAAGTAGATAGAACTCAGTTTGAGGTAGAATATGTGTGAAAAATTAAATCAGTTGAGAAAGCCTTGGTAGGGTGGCAAGACAGGTGGAGATGCTGGGTAGAGGATGCATAAAGATACTTGGGAAAGGAGGTCACAGAAATCAGAGAGGAGGGTAAAGATATTTAGCCTAGTTTAAAAATTTTTTTTGGAGAACCATAACTAGAAATGGCTTTTTTCCTTACCTTTTCTTCCAGCTTTCCTTCTTCCTTCCTTTTTTTCTTCCTTCCCTTCCTCCCTTAGAAAAGAGGGGCCAAGAAGGACGGAAGCCTTGTAACCATTGACTTCATTGTTCTTTTGTTTTTATAGTGAATATGTATTAGGTGGCAGCTTTGTGTTAGATGGTATTTGTTGTATAGAAGCTCAGCATAACAGATATTCCTTCTAATTTCTGGAGGATCTATCTTCTATTTATAGTCTTAGGAAGAGTTTGTGTTTGTGTGTGGCTTATGTGTGTGGCCATGTATGCATGCACATATGTATGTTCACCTGGCCTTTTATGGTCAGTTCTGGGGAAGAAAGGCATTGGTCCTTATTCAGATGTGCCCTAAAGTCTTATCTACCTAAAAGGGAGTATCGTCAGACTTTAGTGTGAAACTCTGTGTATGTGTGTGAGAAGGAGTTTATATATTTATTGATTACTCTTAGGGTTCTAGGTTAGATGAGATGGGGAAAATTTCTTTAGCTGCTCTAGTTCCAGTTTAGAGATGGATTTATTTTAGGTCAAGTGTATCTTTCATACTGTGGTTTTCAAACATGCATCATATTTTATGACCATATTTGTGGTCATAAAATCAGTTAAATTGTCTGTGAATAAGATTTTTTAAAAAGAAATAGGATAAAACTAATCAATGTGTTGCACACTGTGAGGGTGAATTTTGGTTTGTAAATCTTCTGTTTCAGTTGTGTGTGTGTGTGTTATACTGGGTTGCAATGTAAAATATATTTCTTACTGTAGGTTCTGTTAAAAATATTTAAAGCACTTGTTTTAGTATATATAGAAAAAGTCAGTAAGGAAATAGGATTTATAAATTATTTTGAAGTTAAATTATAGAAAAAGAATAAGAGTTTTAAAAAATGTTTCTACTTAGAATGCTAAGTAGTTCTGTGTTTTAAAGAGAATATTAAGATTGCTGTTATAGCATTAACAGGAAATGGAGAAATTTTTAATTTTCAAAATTTAAACATTATTAATGATTGAACTGTGAGACATTGAAATTACTATCAGGATATGGGGTAAAATAAATAATATTCCATTTTATTACATTTAGTTTATATGTTTATATTCTAGGAGATTCAGGTGTCTGGGGACTGAAAAAAAATTTTGCTTTATTGGAGCTTTTGGAACGACTGCAGAATGGACATATTGGTCAGTATGGAGCTGCAGAAGAAGCCATTGGGATATCTGGAGAGGTATTGATTGAACTGTTGAAATATTTGTTATGACCATGAATTTTTTCTTTTAAAATATTTGCCATTATATGCCCAATATTACCTCACTTACCCTATAAAGTAGGATTCCAGAGACACAACTTTTCATTACGTTATAGTTCTGAAGGCAACAGAATCCCCAACTGAACAAAAGCAAAACTGAAGCTTGAATTCTCTGAAAATACTATAGCAAACTGTGTTTTCTGTATAAACTTGTTTCCTTATCATCAGTAGCTCTACATAAGGGCAGAGTGAAAAGTGACAGAGTAGGATTGTGGATGAGCGCAGAGGGTATGTAGCCTCCATGAAAGCAGAGGGTGCAGAATCGAATCGTTCAGCAGTTAAAGCACAGAGAAACAAAGAGGAGCACCATGAAAGGGACCTTTCAGCATAGAGACTAAATGCCTTAGAGGTAGCCACAGCTCCTGCTGCTGCTGCTGCTAAGTCGCTTCAGTCGTGTCCGACCCTGTGCGACCGCATAGACGGCAGCCCAGCAGGCTCCCCCGTCCCTGGGATTCTCCAGGCAAGAGCACTGGAGTGGGTGCCATTGCCTTCTCCGATAGCTCCTGAGGGAGTTACTATTAAATATCTTCATGAAAAGTTACATTGTATGTAGATGTACTCTCTTCATCTAGACAGGTTGGTGTCCAATAATTATTAGAAAGAAGACCATTAACACAAATTAAAATACATTTTTAGCATAAAGTTTATCTACATAACTCATAGACTGTTCTGAATATAGGAATAGTTGTTTAGTAAATAGTTAATAATTTTGATGAACACCTTGAAAACCTCATGTTTAGTATCAAGGAAAATGACAGATTGACTTTTTACTTCTCTTTTATTAGATCATGATTTCCTATATAAAGTGAATCAGTGAAAGTAATCTCAAACTGAAGCACTGTTTTCTAAAAATTTTGCAGTTCTTTCCCATGATTTATCTTTTACCTTTATTTTGAAAGACATTGAGGATTATCTAACGTTGATCTTACAAATTTGTCAGCTCTAGAAAGCAGAAGACATGACTCTTTAATTTTATACATAAGCATTTCTCATAGTTGCAAATAAAGTTGTTTAACTTTGGATTCATTTTTTATTTACTGTGATACTTAATGACACCATTGGTATATTTTCTGATTTTTATTTCTACAGAAATACAGAGTATTTCTCAGGTTGGAGTCTAAGCATCTATGTTTTTAAAAGCTTCACTTGCTTATCTAGATAGTAAAATTTGTGCTTCTCTTTTATCTGCGTTATGCTGAGAAGCATATTGAAAGCAGGGGGAAGCACTTCCTATCAGTCCTTCCAGTCTTAAATAGAGACTTGTTCCCACCCTCTGCTGTCCGTCTGTGTGTCAGGTGAGGCGATGCTGCGGTGGATGCCTTTGCACCGATAGTGAATCTAAAGCAGTGGTTCTATTTTTGGCCTCAATTTCATAGCATATATTGATGATCAATTTTGGAAATAGCTTTCACTTACCTATAGAAGTGAGTAGTGAATGACCTTTTTATTTAATTATCAGTTTATTTATATATATGTAAAGACTATGGACTTTTATATTTCAAAATTTTGCTTGTTATCATGATTGGGGTTTAGTTAAAAATTTTTTTAAATCAAAGTATAGTTAATTTATAATATTATGTTAGTTTCAAACATACATCAACATGATTTGGTTACATACACACAGACACACACACACACATATTCGTTTTCAGGTTTTTTTCCATTATAGATTATTATGAGATACTGAGTGTAGTTCCCTGTGTTGTACAGTAGGTCCTTGTTTACCTGTTTTATATATAGTAGTGTGTAATTTATTTCTCCTCTCTCTCCCTTGGTATCTCCTTTGGTAACCCTAAGTTTATTTTCTGTGTCTCAGTCAGTTTCTGTTTAGTAAAGGGGTTCAGTTTTAATACATTACTTTTTTGTTTATCAGAGCATCATTCGTTGTGATGAAGATGAAGCTCATGTTGCCTCTGTATATTGCACTGTATGTGCAACTCATTTGTGTTCAGAGTGTTCCCAAGTTACTCATTCTACGAAGACACTAGCAAAGCACAGGAGAGTGCCTCTAGCTGATAAACCTCATGAGAAGACCATGTGCTCTCAGCATCAAGTGCATGCCATTGAGTTTGTTTGCTTGGAAGATGGCTGTCAAACTAGCCCACTCATGTGTTGTGTCTGCAAAGAATATGGAAAACACCAAGGTCACAAGGTATGAATGTAGTTAAACTTGATAACTTCACCTGCTTTACCAGCCTACTGTTTATTTTCACTAACTTGGTTCTTTATAGTAAAAGTAGAAACTGAAGAAGAGCTAAATGATAAATGAGTTGAGCTTGGTAGCATGAAAAGAGAGGTTTATTTTCTGAATGACTTATTAAAAATTTCAGAGTCTTCATGATTCATTCTTTATTGAAAATGGCTTTCTAGCAGGAAACAAAAAGTTCTTTTCTTTGTGTGCATGTTTTTGTAAAGCACTGCATTGTGTTGATAATGTATCTGTTGATGAACTAATGCTTGTGATCAAATTTTAGAGAAGATTTCTTGATTTCTTAGCAGTATATGGAATTCCAAATTTAAAATCATTTCTTTGAAGGATAAATAATTTTGGAATGAAGGCAGATTAGTATTTCTTCATGCTGTGATTTTGTAAATATGTTATAAAACCCACTTGCAACTAATGATTTGTTTTTTTATTAATAGGAGCCAGTTAAGTAGCATTTTATATCATTAGTCAATACTGTGAGTTCTTTTCTATAATTATGTTGCACCTTATAGCATTCAGTATTGGAACCAGAAGCTAACCAGATCCGAGCATCAATTTTAGATATGGCTCATTGCATACGGACCTTCACTGAGGAAATTTCAGATTATTCCAGAAAATTAGTTGGAATCGTTCAGCACATTGAAGGAGGAGAACAAATAGTAGAAGATGGAATTGGAATGGCGCACACAGAACATGTATGGATTTTTTTCCTCCTTACCCTTTCTCCTTCTTACTTTTTCACCTTGTAGGATTTATTGTGCAATTCCATTGTACCAGTACTGCACTAGTCAGTGGAAATAAGTTTTTTGAAAAGTCTCTGTCTTTACGGAAATTTATAATCCATCATGGAAGAGTTTCAAGTGTGGTAACTGTTTACTTTGTGGGGGAAATGCAGGATGTCCTGGCAGTGTGCATAAAAACAGCATTAACTTAGGTAAGTCTTGGAAGGCTTTCTAGAAGATGTGATGTCTAAACTGAGATTTGAAGGAATTTAGTCAGGGAGAAGAGTGAGGTGGGGAGAGAGCTGTTCCAGAGAGGGAAGCCTATGTTAAAATACCTGGAAGTGAGAATTGGACATATTGTAGAAACTTAACTAAGTTCACTGTGGTTGAAGCTTTGAGTATTGGGGTGGCACATGGTGAGAAAAGATGTTGGAGAATTAAGGGCCAAATTGTGCAGCATCTTGTTAGCTATGTTAAAGAGTTCGGACTTTATCTCACAGGCAGTGATGAGCCATTGAAGAATTGTCATAGGAATAACATAATCAAATTTGCATTAAGAAAGGTTGCTGTTTAATATAAAAAATGAATTGGAGGAACAACAAGATTGGAAGCAAGGAGACCTCTTGTGAGGTTGCTGAAAGTATCTACTTGAGAATTGTTTGTGGCCCATAATACTGCAGTATTGAGGATGGAGAGAAGCACATAGCTTTGAGATGTTAAAGAAGTAGAATAGGTAGGTCATAGTGATTGATTGATAATATTGATTGATAGGTAACTTGCAGGGTCAAGCATGATGCCTAGGTTTCCACCTTGCCCAGCCTGGCGGATGGTTGTGCTCTAAACGGGGAGGAAGAAGAATTTGGGAGGGGATGATGAGACCAAGGTGGTAAGTTTAATTTGGATGTTGAATTTGTTATATCTGTGAAATAAACAGAAATACCCCCAACCCCCCACAGCAAGGTGAAGAGTAAGTGGGTATTAGGAGGTGAGTGTGTCTAACTTCTAAGAGTTTGGCTATGAAGAGAAGGAAGGGACTTAAGCAGCAGTGGTAATTGCTTTTAAAAATTGAATTATAGAGGAGAAGCATTGGGCTTCCCAGGTGGCACTAGTGGTAAAGAACCCGCTTGCCAGTGCAGGAGTCTTAAGAGATGTGGGCTCAATCCCTGGATGAGGAAGATCCTCTGGAAGAGGGCATGGCAACCCACTGCATTATTCTTGCCTGGAGAATTCCATGGACAGAGGATCCTGGAGAGCTACAGTCCTGGTCACAAAGAGTTGGACATGAATGAAGCGACTTAACACACATGTGTAGACAAGAAAGAGATACTTTCAGACAGGAATATAAAACACAGGGTCAGACAAAGTATAGTGGGTTTTTTTGGTAATCAAAATTAAAGCCAAGTGATAGGGAATAATTGCTAGTATAATGTTCTGTCAAACTAGTAGCCAGTAGCCTCATGTGGCTATTTAAGTTTAAATTATTTATCAATCCCAAGAAATACAAAATTTACTTTCTCAGTCTCACTAGCTGCATTTGAAGTACATTTTATGTGTGTGTATCTAGTGGCTACCATATTGGTCAGCACAGATATAGAACATGTCTGTCATCACATAAAATTCTATTGGATATTGTTGTACTATGGTGGAAGTATTTATGCCCTCAATAAATATTTATTGAACATATCTCAAGTGCTAAACACTAATCTAGCTAAGGAGACACCACTGTACAAGTCAAAAATATCACCTATGCAGAGTTTGCATTCTAATGTGGGAAGAGAGACAATATATAAATAAAATATGGCAGAAGTATGTTATTAGGTGCTTTGGAGAAAAATCCAGAAAAGGTGGTATTTGAGGACAGGTTTCCTGAGAAGGGGCATTGAGCATTGACCTAAAGGAGCTGAGAAAAGGGAGCCATATTAATATTTGGGGAAAGAACATTCTAGATCAAGAACAGAGGCCCTGCAGTTGGAGTGTGTCTCGTGTTCTTAAGAAACTTCGTGGAGGCTGAGTGTAGCTAAAACTGATTGATGGAAAGCATAGCTGGAATTGAGGTCAGAAGGGGCCTAATAGGCACTTGCTTTAATTTATTCCAGGAATGCTCTTCTTCAAAATGTTCATGTGGTTCCCTCTTCCTACTTCCTTCAGGTCTTAGCTCAGATGTCTTTTTCTCAGGGATTCTGTCATTGAACATCCCATATAAAGGACTTTGGCATTTACTCTGTGTGGGAAACCACGGAGTGTTTTGAGCATAGTAATAATTAACATTCTGACTTAACATTGTAAAATGATCAGTCTGGCTTCTGGATGGAGAATACATTACGGGGAGCAGGGGTGGATCTAGTGAGCCGAGTTAGAAGGCTATTACAATGATCAAGTGAGAGATGACGATGGCTTTGATTAGGTTGGTAGAGGTAGGGGTGGTGAGGCATGATCAGATTCTAGATATATTTTGAAGTCAGCAGAATTCAGTAAGAAACTAGTTGAGAGATAAAAAAGAGAAGTGTTAAGGGTGACTCCAGTTTTTTTAGCTTGAACAACCTGGAAGCTGTAGTTGCTGTTTATTGAGATAGAGAAAACTAGGTTTGCGGTTGAGGGAGACTTGTTTTTTTGAAATGTCATTTAAACAGTTGGATATCCAAAGGTTATGTTTAAGGGGAAAAGTCTTCTGTGGAGATATACATTTTGGGATTTTTAAGGTTATATAGATGGTATTGAAATTTTCATTATTTCACATAAAAAATCTTTTTTAAGGTTACAGTTGTTGAAATTGTTTTTATTGCCCAAGGTACCAGGTACTGCAGAGAATGCCCGATCGTGTGTCCGAGCTTATTTTTCTGATCTGCATGAAACTCTGTGTCGTCAAGAAGAAATGGCTCTAAGTGTTGTTGATGCTCATGTTCGAGAAAAATTGATTTGGCTCAGGCAGCAACAAGAAGATATGACTGTTTTGTTATCTCAGGTTTCAACAGCCTGTCTCCATTGTGAAAAGACTTTGCAACAGGTACATGGTTTAAAACATGGTTAGGACATAGTTTAAGAAGGAGAATTTGTAAGCTTAATCAAATCATTACTGGAAGTACATACTAGTCTATTTTATTAATTTAATAGATATTTTTATACTATTACTGTATGTTACTGTGGGCTTTAATGTGGACTGTGCTTAGGACATGATCTCTAACCTTGAATTGCTCCAGTCAGCCATATCAATGCTCTCTCTTTTGAGTGTCCTCCCCACCATAAAACCATAGGTTCTAGAACCTGCTTAACTTCTTGTCATTCTTTATTCATCCCAAGTCCTTTAACTCTTTTTTTCCAAATGTATACTATTCTTTCAGCTTGGTGGGCTTATGTCTCCCTTTTTTAATATTGGAAATCTTTCTTCAAATGTTTATTGTTGTTTGAAGTTCCTTTTTCTTGCTCTTTTTGTTCATTGGTTTTTGGTGGGGGGAGATGGGGAGTGCATCTGTAACACGAACTACCCATCTCTGCTCTAATTTACTGGTTCTTAAGTTTGATGTCACAGAAAATCCATTTTTTTTTTTTTGATGCATGATGTATTATAAGCAATTTGTTACCCATTTTGCAGATAATATGCTTTTAAAATGAATTAGACTTAAGGTTATTCTAACAAAAATGTCAGTCTTACTCATTACTGTTTTGGATCTGCCTTCATAAATGTGCAAATTAAGACTTACTGTTGCCCTAGGAATATGCAGACCCTCTCATCTTTTGGTATATTGCTGATGATTGTGTTGATACTTTCTACCATTGTAGAGCTTTTTCTCTTAAAAATCTGATAGGCTAGGCTGTAAGCACATCAGCCTTGCGTCCTTTAGTCCTTGTCACATTGAATTGTAATAATTGATGTTTTTGCCATCTATTAAGTTGTCTTCTTGCTCCAGTCCTGTTCTTCTGTCCTCTCCTTTGTGATGCTGAGATTGGAACGCTGAAAGCCTACTCCGCCAGCTGGTTCCATGTTATTTTAGGCTCTGCCCGTAGGGGGCAGTAGAGGGAGGCTGAAAGGTGGACGTGATTTCCTGTGGGTTCCCGTTTGCTTGGGGTTCATGTGAATGTCGCTGCTCACACTAGGAGACCACTTTCCTTCGAGATCTGAGTTTCAGCTCCATGGGATCCCTCCTATAAGTGTCTGAGTTTTAATAATTCTAACATCTCTCCTTTATTCCCCCAGCCCTGAGAGTGGTAGTTATTTCTTACAGTTGTTTCCTCCATGAGACCTCCGAGCTCTTTTTACACTTTCAGTTGCTTTGTTAATTACTACACCTAGTTAACAGTTCTTCATATTAGTTTTTCTGTTCACATGATTGTTGGCGTTTTTGTCTCCTGATTTGAGTCTAATGATACATTATGCACAATTGTCCTTCTGAATGTTGGCTGAATGTATCTTTGTATCTAAATTCTTTGTATCTGGATAGAAAGAGCTTAATATATACTTGTTCAGCTCAAGCTACACAGCAGAATTACAAACGGAGCATGTCCTAAATCATAGTTAAGTGACTACTTCAAAATATTTTTATATTTATTTAATTTAAAAGTATGCTCATGGCTACTGAAATATTCACAAGTATTTTAGAGTTTCTGAAGCATTTTGTCAAAGTGACTGATAAATGTTAATGACAGCGTATTATCTCACTGGGTTAATGCAAATGAAATTGGGGTCTTGGGTTCATTCTTCATATGTACTTATTAGTTTCATTCTGATTTATGGCCACAGAACCCTAATCTCAGCCAGTAGTCTTAAAAGTTCCTGCCACAGTGATACCTTAACAGAGGAATGGATGGAACATCACATATTTATTACCAATTTTGATGATAAAATTTAATCATCCCTCCCCTCCAGAATAATTAATGCATCATGTAAGGCATGATGCTGCTTGGTTAGGATTTATTTATGAGGCAGACATTTTTTTGTGTGCCTGCTATGTGCCATGTAAATGCTAGGTACATGGAATACGCCAATAAGCAAAATAGGCCAAAAGCCATAATTTTGTGGAATTAGCATCTTAGCAAGAAGACAGTACAATAAGCCATAACCATTTCTAATAAGTAAATTATATAGTATGTTAAAAAGTAATAAGAGCTAAGGGAAAAGGAAAATGTGTGAAGGTACAGCAGATTGCATTTTGAAATAGGGTAAGCATCATTGAGAAAAGGTGAGATTTAATCAGACTCAAAAGGGAAGAAGGTGAAGGGAACAATCTCACACCTTAATGAGGAAGATTTTAGTAGAGGAAATGGTTAGTGCAAAAACCCTAGGTGACATGTATTTGAGGAACAGCAAAAGAGGGCACTATGGCTGGAATAGATGGATAGTAATAAGCGATGGCAGAGAAGGCAATGGCACCCCACTCCAGTACTCTTGCCCAGAAAATCCCATGGATGGAGGAGCTTGGTGGGCTGCAGTCCATGGGGTGCTAAGAGTTGGACATGACTGAGCAACTTCACTTTCATGCATTGGAGAAGGAAATGGCAACCCACTCCAGTGTTCTTGCCTGGAGAATCCCAGGGATGGGGGAGCCTGGTGGGCTGCCATCTATGGGGTCACACAAAGTCGGACACAACTGAAGCTACTTAGCAGCAGCAGCACCAGCAGCAATAAGCGATGGAGAGAGTAATAGGAGCTGAAATGAGAGGAAATAGGGAATGATATATAAGGAGAGCCTTGTGGCCATTGGAAGGACTTCAGCTTTTACTGATTGAATTGGAGAAACCATTGTGAGGTTTTGAGCACAAGAATGATTTAATCTTACTTAAAAGGATCTGGCTGATGTGAAAAGGGCAAAGAGAAGGAAGGAGTTCAATAGTTAGGGACTATTGTGGCATTCCAAGTGAGAGAGAATGGTAGCTTGGATAGTAGGGGCTAGAAGTACCCAGATTTTGGAAATCCAGTAGGATTTGTTGACAAATACATGCGAAAATGAGGAAGGTGAAGACAAGAGGGACTTCAGGGTTTTTGTTCTGGGGATTGGAACAGCTAGATTGCTGTCACCTCATATGAATATGGCTTCCCTTGTAGCTCAGTTGGTAAAGAATCTGCCTGCAATGCAGGAGACCCAGTTCGATTCCTGGGTTGGAAAGATCCCCTGGAGAAGGGAAAGGCTACCCATTCCAGTATTCTGGCCCAGAGAAGTCCATGGACTGTATAGTCCATGGGGTCGCAAAGAGTCGGACACTACTGAACGACTTTCACTTTCTTTCTTTTCATATGAATGTACAACAGTGAGCAAAAACTGACAATGCTATTTCTTTCATGGAGTTTATATATTGTTGGAAAATCTATATCTTATGAAGAATACACTGGCATATGTATAGAATATTTCTGGAATAATATTTGAGCAACTGGAAGGAAAGAGCCTGGGACTCTAGAGTGAGACAGAGACATCACAGTTTAACCTTTAGTCCTTTGTTTTTGGAACCAATACGTGTATCTTACATTATTTTGAAAAACTTTTATAGGAGTACTATATATATATGTGTGTATATATATACACACACATAGAAATATATGCATACACACTCAACTTGCTGTATTTTAGGACTGGACATTGCTATGTAACCAGCATTCAGATCCAGTAACAGGGCATTACCAGGACCCCAGAAGACCCTCAGACTCTCTTCTAATAACTACCTGCCTTTCCTCCTAAGGATAAATGACTGTCCTGATTTCTAATGTATACTTTGTTTTTGCCTGTTTTGGTAATTAATAAAAGTTGGAATCATACAATAAGAACTCTTCATGTCATTTCTACCCTTATTTCGTGTGAAATTCATTTTGTCAAAATGTAATTGTAGTTCATTTTTATTGTGATAGTGTTGCGTTTGTGGACACAAAATTATTTATCTGTTCTTATGTTGATGGGCTCTTAAATTATTTATTAATGTCTGACTATTGTTATCTTAGTCAAATTTACACATAAGTTAACTTTGAATGTTGTTGTTGAGTGTTCAACTCTTGTGACCCCATGGATTGTAGCATGCCTAGATCCTCTGTCCTCCACTGTTTCCCAGAGTTTGCTCAAATTCATGTCTGTTGAGTCAGTGATGCTGTCTAATCATCTCATCCTCTGCCATCCTCTTTTCCTTTTGCATTCAATCTTTCCCAGCATCAGGGCCTTTTCCTATGAATTAACTCTTTGCATTAGGTGGCCAAAGTTTTGGAGCTTCAGCTTCAGCATGAGTCCTTCCAGTGAATATTCACAGTTGATTTCATTTAGGATTGACTGGTTTGATCTGCTTTCAGTCCAAGGGACTGTAAAGAGTCTTCTCCTCCAGCACCGCAATTCAAAAGCATCAAATCTTCAGTGGCTAACTTTGAATACTGTAATGTTAAATGAGCTTTTCTTGAGTTTTAGTGATATCTCTTTTTTTCTGATTTCTTTAAAAGGTTTATAAGAAATATCATCTTCTCCTTTCTAGGATGATTGTAGAGTTGTCTTGGCAAAACAAGAAATTACAAGGTTACTAGAAACATTGCAAAAGCAGCAGCAGCAGTTTACAGAAGTTGCAGATCACATTCAGTTGGATGCCAGCATCCCTGTCACTTTTACAAAGGTAATATATTCTGTACTTCATATTTAGGTGTGTTTTTGAACAAATCATAATTGTTTTACCTTCCATGGCAATTAGCTTGAAGAGACAACTAAAAAATTAATGAACCATAGGATTAAAAAAGAAAACTTTATCAGTGGAAAATAGGTGGTGTAATGAATCTTCTATACTCATCACCACCTACTGGAACAGTTAATAACTTTTTATTTCACCTACCCTTCTCCCAGTCTCTTTCTACCTACAATCTCCCAGGTTATTTTAAAACAAATCTCAACATATTTCATCCCAACATCAAATAATTCTTAAAACACAATAAAAATACCATTACCACACCTAAGAAATTAAATACATCTTTAATATTACCCATTATCGAATTAGTATTCAGATTTCCTAGATTGTTAAATAAATTTGTTTAGGTCTGAGACTGAATCCAACAAGGTATGTATTTGGCATTTTTTGATATGTTTTGGTCTCTTATTCCCCCGAATTTAAAAAGGTACATGTGTTTCATTTTGCTCTCTATTTTTGAGTGGCTTTAAAATTGTTTTTAATCTTGTTTTATAATTATGTGAAGCATTCACATGGTCCAGACTCATATCTACAAAGCAAAGTACATTCAGTGAAGTCTAACTTAAATTCCTGGCCCCTCCACCCTTTTCTTCCCTTTGCCATAGAAAACTATTAAGAATTTTTCTTAGTTTTATTCATCATTAAAAAAAATAGAGAAATATGTTTGCATGTACTCTCCACCTATTTAAAGGTAGAGTACTGTACTCACTTCTCCACCTTGCGTTTTAATTTGAGGGCACATCCTAGAGGTCACTCCATAGCAGTATATAGTGACCTTTTCCATTTCTTTTTGCATCTAGAAGGTTCTTGATTGTGAGTATGTACTTTTTTTAAAATTATGGTAAAAAAAATTTTTTTTACCATCTTAACCATTTTTTAAGTGTATAGTTCAGTATTGTTAGGTATATTCACACTGTGTGAAACATTTTCAGAAATTTTTCATCTTGAAAAACTGAAACTATACCTTATAAGCAACCACTCCCTTCTTCCCTGCTTCTCCTCATATCTTGGTAACCACTGTTCTACTTTCTGTTTCTTTGAATTTGACTACTCTAAATTTAGTGTATACGTGGATAGTATTTGTCTTTTTGTTACTGGGTTTATTTCACTTAGTATTATGTCCTCAGAGCTCACCTGTGTTGTAGTATGTGACAGAATATCCTTTTAAGTCTAAATAATATTTCATTGTTTGTATATGCCACATTTTGTGTATACATTCATCTATCAGTGGATATTTCGGTTACTTTACCTCTTGGTTATTGTGAATAGTGCTGCTGTGAACATGATTGTATAGACATCTCTTTCAGGCTTTGTTTCCAATTCTTTTGGATAAATACCAGAAATGGGACTAATGGTTTATATAGTAGTTCTGTTTTTAATTTTCTGAGGAAATGTCATACTGTTTCCTTAGCGATTGCATCACATGATAGAAATCCCACCAAAAGTGCATGAGGATTCCAATTTCTCCACATTTTCACTTATTATTTTCTATTTGTTTGATTTGTTTTTGATAGTAGCTATCCTGATTGGTGTAAAGTGATATCTTATTGTGGTATTGATTTGCGTTTCTCTGATGATCAGTGATATTAAGCATCTTTTCATATGCTTCTTGGTCAGTTCTGTGGAGAATTTTTTACAAGTCCTTTTGCCTATTTTTCTGTTTCTGTCTTTTTGTTGTTGAGTTATAGGAGTTCTTTATGTATTCTGGATATGAACCCATTATCAGATACATGATTTGCAAGTATCTTCTCCCATTCTATAGTTTTCTTCTTCACTCTCTTGATTGTGTCCTCTGATTCACAAAAGCTTTTAACATTGATCTAGTCCCATCTATCTATTTTTGCTTCTGTTGATTGTTTTTTATGTCATATCTAAGAAAATCATTGCCAAACCCAGTGTCATGAAGCTTTTCTGCTGTTCTACGAGTTTTATAGCTTTGGTTCTTATGTTTAGGGCTTTAATCTATTAATTTATAATCCAGATATTTAGAATTATTATATATTGTTTATAAACCTTCCATTTTTCCATTATATAATGAACTTGTCCCTTATAACAGTTTCTGACTTAAAAATCTATTTTATCTGATATTAGGATGGCAAGCCCTGCTTTCTTTTGGGTATGATTTGCATCCCAAAGAGATTTGCATCTTTACCATCCTTTCACTTTCAAACGTGTGTTTCCTTAGATATAAAGTGAGTCTCTTTTGTAAACAGCATATTTTTAGATCTTGGTTTTTCATCCGTTAGGTCACACTATGTCTTTCGAGTGGAGTTACGTCTATTTATATTTAAAGTAATTATTGTTAAGTAAACCCTTACTGTTGTCATTTTGTTCATTTTCTGCCTAACTTGATAAGTTTTTTTTTTGTTTCACCTTTCCTCTTTCATTGCCTTTTGTGTTTTATTGATTTTTTTTTATAGTGTCATGGTTTGATTTCCTTCTCATTTCCTTTTGTTTATATTCTATGGATTTTGTGTGTGTGTGTGTGAGGTTATCATTGCAATTACATAAAATATCTTAGTTGTAACATTCTGTTTTAAATTGATAACAAATTAACTTCAATTGCATACAAAAATTCTATTTCTTCACAGCTCCACCCCCTGTACTTTGTTATTGATGTCACAAATTATATCTTTATATACTTTATATATCTATATTTTAATTAATATATTTAGCACAGCATGAAAAATCTTATTTAAAGAAGATTCAGTTGAGCTAGAAAATCTGGGAAAGATAAGTGTGTGTGTGTGTGTGTGTGTGTGTGTGTGTGTGTGTATTTTTTAGCTTACATAGTATGTAGTAAGTTTTACTAAGCCAAGATTTAACAAAACAGTGAGGATACATTTCCTCTTTCTAAATATCAGAATCAGGGTATTTTAATATGGGAATAGAACTCTGATTTTAATGAGTTGAGGAATGAGTAGGAGACAAAGTAATTAGCAAAGGTATTTTATAAATAAAAGTGTAAGTGCTAATACTTTTAACTCCATATCAAAATAAAAAGATTTATTTTTTTAAAAATATAGGACAATAGAGTTCATATTGGACCCAAAATGGAAATTCGAGTTGTTACATTAGGATTGGATGGTGCTGGAAAAACTACTATTTTGTTTAAATTAAAACAGGATGAGTTCATGCAGCCTATTCCAACAATTGGTAAGTGTGCGTATTGCTTTTACCTTAATGAATATTTTATAGGAAAAAACCCTAACTTACAGATGAGTTCTCAGAGCCTTACTTTATGCCCATCTGATGTGGAGATTGGCTGTAAGACATCAGCATTTCAGAGGAAAAATGCAAGGTTCAGTGACTGTGGGATTGAAATGTGGATTGAGGAGGGATAGTAAGAAAGAAGAGAATATTGGTGGGACAGTTGGAAGGAATAAAGAAAGTATTGATGACTCTGGCTGAAAATTAGGGATGAGGAGGTGGTAGTGTTTGCAGAGCTGGTACTCGGCTGTCAAGGTCTTAAGGACTCTATTGGATTAGGGGGCTAACCCTGGTTAAAGGTATACATTTCCCCCATGTATGTTTATTACAAGTGGAGTTGGTTAGATAGTGCTGTATGAAGATGATTTGTAAGTCACAGTTACAAATGGGGCTGCCTGTTTTTGGTGTGTCACTCATAAGTCAGTTTTTTAATTTATTTTTTATTATTATTTTTTCCATTTATTTTTTTAGTTGGAGGCTAATTACTTTACAGTATTGTAGTGGTTTTTGCCATACATTGACATGAATCAGCCATGGATTTACATGTGTTCCCCATCCCGATCCCCCCGCCCACCTCCCTCTCCACCCGATCCCTCTGGGTCTTCCCAGTGTACCAGGCCCGAGCACTTGTCTCATGCATCCAGCCTGGGCTGGTGATCTCTTTCACCCTTGATAATATACACGTTTCAGTGCTGTTCTCTCAAAACATCCCACCCTCACCTTCTCCCACAGTCAGTATTAAAGTAAGTTTTTTTTTTTTTAAACAGGTTTTAATGTGGAAACTGTAGAATATAAAAATCTAAAGTTCACCATTTGGGATGTAGGTGGAAAACACAAATTAAGACCATTGTGGAAACATTATTACCTTAATACCCAAGGTAAGAGTGTAAAAATTACATCTTAATTTTTCAAATTTTTAGAATGTCAGTCCAGTTTTCAGTGCATTGATTTAGCTAATAAAACTGATATTTTAGCATTGATTAAATATATGACCATACTATTACATATTGGTAGCACGCCCCACACTATTAAGAAAATTAAGCTAGATAGACTGGGATATGTACTCTGGTATATTTCATGAAAAATGATAACATAATATTTATCTTATACATGTAAGCAATTAAGGGTACTATCTTCTTGGTATTCTTAACAAAGAGTATTAGTGTTCATATGAGTATAATCATTGGCAGTAGTGTGGTACAGGGTAGAATTTGTGGTGTATAGTTCTATTGCTCTATTCAGTTCAATTCAACTCAACATTTATCCCATTATAATCTCTAAATAGCTCCACTCCTTTATTTCCATTCACAATTAGTTATCATCAGCAGAAGAACCCATAGTGGTTTGATTTTAACCAAACTGTGTTATATGACATACATTCCACTTAGCATTTATTCACATAAATGAATTGTACATTTGCCTCCTGTACCCCAGCATAAAGCTTATGTTCACGCTCCCTGTTCCATATATCGTCCTGTTTTCCAGCTGGAAGAAAGATCAGATAATTTTTACTTTGAAATTTTTGATATTAGGTTAGTATGAGCCAGTGATTAAGGGGAAGAAATGGAATTTTGAACTGAGGAATGGTTGAAAGCCTAGGATGTTTAGCTGCCATTAGATAGCTGGAAAGGTTTCAATAGACAATTCAGTAGATATTCATCAAGTTTCTGCTGTGTATTTTGAGTACAATTTATGGAAAGTGCTGTGCCAGGCACCTAAAGAGAATACCTTGGAGAGATAAAGTTGGGACTTATTTATTTTTAAAAGACTATCTTTTGGTAAAGGAAGTAGAGTAATCAAAGTAAAGTAATCAAAGAAGGAGCATCAGTAGGTAGATCATGAGAAGTACATTTTCATTCATTAAGAGAAAAATATTAAATGATATGCAAAGCAATATGTGTTTGGTAGTGCAAATGTTGTAAATCCTGTTATTAATGAGGAAAAAATAGACCAAAAGTTAGGTGAACTGCTTGAGATCATATCATTAATTATTGCTAGGTGCTCCTATAATAGGCAGCCTTCCTGTGAAAATAATGATGGTAGACTCACCATAATATAACATTAAAATATTTAGCCCACTTACTGAAATTAAACAAGCGACTAAATGAATATTTTTGTCTTTTTTTGATAGCTGTTGTGTTTGTTGTTGATAGCAGTCATAGAGACAGAGTTAGTGAAGCACACAGTGAACTTGCAAAGTTATTAACGGAAAAAGAACTCCGAGATGCTTTACTCCTGATTTTTGCTAACAAACAGGTAATATATTTGTATTTCAGAATATTTATTTTAGCATTCCACATTATAAGGTAACTGTTAAGATTTTGAGAGAAATAACTCAGAAGATATAAAGTTTCTGCATTGTATTTTGAATGCAGTCTATATGGAAGGTGCTGTACTTGGTACCTTGGAGTATACAGAAAGAAATAAGGTAGTTGATACTCACCAGAAACTCCTATGTATTTAGGTTTGCCTGTTAAGTGTTTATTTCTAATACTGCTAAGTGCAGATTAATAAGAAGACTGCTAAGTGACTTCAGTAATATTAAAGTATTATGGAAAATTAGAGAGTAGTTCTAAAGGTTTTATTTTCTAAGATTTATAAAAAGTAGGATTTGAATTGAAATTATAGATAATACTTTGAATTAGTATGTGAAGCAAAGAACAACTACAGACAGAAAAAATAAAAACATGAATATTTTTAGAGAGCATCATGGAGACCAGTATATGCCAGCAAATTTGAAAAATTCAGCAGTGACCACAGGACTGGAAAAGGTCAGTTTTCGTTCCAGTCCCAAAGAAAGGTTATGCCAGAGAATGTTCAAACTACATATGGTTGCATTCATTTCACATGCTAGCAAGGTAATGCTCAAAATCCTTCAGGCTAGGCTTCAACAGTATCGAGACTCGAGAACTTCCACATGTACAAGTGGGATTTAGAAAGGCAGAAGAACCAGAGATCAAATTGCCAACATCCATTGGATCATAGAAAAAAGCAAAAGAATTCCAGAAAAATAGCTACTTCTGCTTCACTGACTATGCTAAAGCCTTTGCTGTGTGAATCACAGTTAACTGTGGAAATTCTTAAAGAGCTGGGAATACCAGACCACCTTACCTGTCTCCTGAGAAACCTGTATCAGGACAAGAAGCAGCAGTTAGAACCAGACATGGAACAACGGACTGGTTCCAGATTGGGAAAGTAGTATGCCAAGCTGTGTGTTGTCACATCATGCGAAATGCCGGGCTGAATGACTCACAAACTAGAATCAAGATTGATGGGAGAAATATCAACAACCTCAGATATGCAGATGATACCACTCTAATGGCAGAAAGCAGAGAGGAACTAAAAAGCTTCTTCATGAGGATGAAAGAGAAGAATGAAAAAGCTGGTTTAAAACTCAACATTCAAAAAACTAAGATCATCACTTCATGGCAAATAGACAGGGAAAAAGTGGAAACAGTGACAAATTTTATTTTCCTGGGCTCCAGAATCACTGTGGACAATAACTGCAGCCACAAAATTTTATGCTTGCTCCTTGGAAGAAAAACTATGACAAACCTAGACAACTTAGTAAAGCAGAGATAGCACTTTCCTAACAAAGGTCCATATAGTCAAAGCTACGATTTTTTTCAGTAGTCATGAACGGATGTGAGAGTTGGACCATTAAGAATGCTGAGCGCCAAAGAACTGATACTTTCAAACTGTGGCAGCTGAAGATTCTTAGATTTTGACACAGCTTCTAGGAGGATAAGAATGCTTTTCTTTAGAGTGATAAAGTGGCTTAGATGTCATAAGAAGGAAGAGTTGGGTAGACAGTAAGGATTTTCCCCTTAATTTAAAAAAATGGCAAGCTATTAAGAACTGATACACTTAATGATTAAAGATATGCAAATAAGGCAGAGTGAAATACCATTTCCCATTTATCATCTTGTTAAAGATGAAAATGTTTGATAATCCTCAGACATGGATACACTGCTGGTGTGGTTATTAATGAGATATTTTCTTGGAGGGTAATATGGCAGTACTTTGTCAAAGTACTGCATATGAAAAGTACTGTTTAGATGCATATACCCTTTTACCCTGTAATTCTCTAGTAATGTATTCTCTAGACAGATATCCTAAGGTTGTCTTAGAGATAATTTTGCAAGTGTATATATTTAAAAACATGTTTACCTACATGTATATGCATATGTAATAGCACATAAGCACATATTTTCAATGTAAATATTCAGTATAGGACTGGTTAAGAAAATTATGTTACACCTACAGTAGAATGCAATACAGAAGTTAAAAATACTGGTGGAAAATTTTTTCTGCTTGTCCTGACAATGGAAAGGTATCTTTATTTTCAATATATGTGTTAAGAAAACAAACAAAAAAAACTAGAATGTGTCCTGTTCATTTACATGAGTGTGCATAGAAGTTTTCTGGGAAAATATGAAAGAAATTGTTACTGATGGCTGCTTCTGGGAAGAAGGGTATTCAGGGCTCTTTGGAGAGATTTTTGTTGTTGGCCTTGCTGCACAGCTTGCAGGATCTTAGTTCCCCTACAAAGGACTATACTTGGGTCCCCTGGCAGTGAAAGCAGTGAGTCCTAACCACTGGACTGTCAGAGAATTTCCTGGGAGAGTTTAATAAACTCTTTATAAACCCTACATAAGAGCCATTTCTTATGATACACATGTATTAATTTCCTTTTAAGTAGATGCCTTATAATGACACGGGCAGTATCTTTCATTCAGGGGGCACAGCCTTCATTGATTTCATTGCAAGACTGTTGCACGGTGGTCCAGTGGTTAAGAGTCTGGCTTGCAGCGCAGGGGATGCTGGTTTGATCCCTGTTTGGGGACTAAGACCCCCCATGCTTGGAGCAGCTAAAGCCTTGTGCCGCAACTGCAGTCTGTGTGCTCCAGTGCAGCCTCCCCCATGACACAAGGATGACCCTGTGAGCTCATGCAGCTTAAAGACTGTTCTTACAAACTGTTATAACCAAAACAGTTCTTTTTCTGTTCTCATTAATCTCTGAATAATTACTGCAAGTTGAATTTAGGTTTTAACTTTAGGCTTCTGTTAAAAGTGATATCAGCAGAACTGTATATAGCAATAATTACAAAAATGCTAATTTGCATAGACTTACGAAAAAATTTTTTGATGTGTATATATCTTTTAGGATGTTGCTGGAGCTCTGTCAGTAGAAGAAATCACTGAGCTTCTTAGTCTCCATAAATTGTGCTGTGGCCGAAGCTGGTATATTCAGGGCTGTGATGCTCGAAGTGGTACAGGACTGTATGAAGGATTGGACTGGCTCTCACGCCAACTTGTGGCTGCTGGAGTATTGGACGTTGCCTGATTTTAAATGTAGCAGTTGTTTAAAGTTTTGTGGTTAAGAGTTATTTTGCACATAACATGATGTAAGAAATTCTACATCTGAAAGATAGTTAATTTACGATATATATATAGGAATCTTGGATTGGGAATTCAGTACAATATTTCTTTTAAAAACTCTGTAGTAAAATTTAAATAGCTGATTGAGCAGATTAAATTGGATTAAACAGGGACTTACTGGATATGCATTTTTTTAAAACATACATTTGTTAAGTTTTTCAGATTACGTGTGTACACACAGATTACTTAGCACACACACATGCATGTTCTACTTACTGTTGGTACTACTGGTATGAATAACTGGGATCCATTAGTATTCGATCCAGCATTGGGAGGTAAGTAGTCACAGTGAAAGAGCAGGTGAAGGTTTATTCATTCAAAGAAAGAATAGCCAACCAAGTGTCTAATGGACTCTCTGTATGAAGCAGGTGAAGCATGGCTTCTTAACTTGCCTTTTCACTGGATTTTGGCAGTATGCAGTAGCAAAAAAGGCAGTGACTTAATGAGATAAAATCCAAACTGCATCTTTGGGTAATAGGATTACTTTAATGTTCAGTATAACAGAACATCTTTAATGCTAAGAACTATAAGCTATAGAAGATTAATATTTTATACAGTATTTGATTAAAGCTCTCTTAAAGCCTTTTGTATAAAACCCAGTAAGTTAGAATGAAATGTAATGCAACTAGGCCTGATGTTGTCAGATCAGTACTACACTGAAGAACAATTAATAAAAAACTGTGAAAGTCAGTTATATTCTAGTTGATCTTCACTTATGAAAAGACTGATTTGCAGAGCTGAACCTGGATGTATTACTTCCAAGGTCAGAGTTCTAAATTTGTCCTTCTATTTTTCAATATAAAGTACTTAGTAGTGTGTTTTTTAAAAATAATATTGCATCTTTAAGGAGAATGACTATAGGTAAAATGTAGTAAGTTATACGCAGAAGCCAGTGTTGGTCTTACATAAAAGGTAGAGATCTAAGTAGAAATTACCTCTACCTCAAGAGAAGTTATTTAAGCAGTGGAAATGATTACCTTAAAATGTTTTCCCAAAATAAGTGCATTTATTTAAACAATAAAATGTGATCAAGGATTTTCATGACAAGGCCTTAAAGGGTGGTTTGAGAGAAACATGTCTACGAAAGGAAAAGAAGAAATGTATAAAAAGTTTATTTCACATTTATTATAGGGTTGTGAGTAAAAAATTTTAAAGTGTGTGCTCTTTACTGTTTTTCACTTTTTAAGGACACTCCCTTATTATGGCAGTCTAATTTTATATTTAAAAATACCTAGATTGGGTTTTATAGGTTTTTTTTTTTAATGCTCTTTATACTTTAGATGAAGTGCTTCCCAGAGGGCTCTCTGATAAAGAATCTACATGCCATCATAGGAGACACGGGTTCAGTACCTGGGTTGGGAAGATCCCCTGGAGATGGGAATGGCAGCCCACTCCAGTATTCTTGCCTGGAGAATCCCATGGACAGAGCAGCCTGGTGGGCTACTGTCCATGGGGTCACAGAGCCAGGTACGACTCAGCACATACTTTAGGATGAGGTTAAATCCTTACAATGGCTGATGACAAGATGTGACTTCTGGATGGCACTGTTTTGGTTGTCTTTTCAAATATATTTCATTTAAAAACAACAAAACTTTTAGAAAACAAAGCATTAAAAAAAATCCATCAGTTATGGGCAGTGTGTAAATAAGTAAATGTAATATCTCATCCTTTATTTTTCAAGTAAAAGGTCATGCTGTTACTAGTGTGTGTATATAATACTTCTGAATTAAATTAATATTTGATTGCAATAACTGTGAAAAATAAAAAAACGTGTTACATTTGCCTATGAGCCCTTGAACTGTTTTGTCTACTAGGTAATTCAAAAACAGTCTAACACTAATATGTAAACTTGCTTTCTTCTGTAAATTTATTTTACCAGTTTTGCTTGACTTTTAAATCACATTCCTAGCATATTTCTACAACACAATTGAAAAATTTTGCTTAGACCTGATTATAATGTATCTAGTAGTATTTATTATTTTTTAAGAAGTTTTTTTCAGGCTCTTATTTCTATTTCTGGTTGTACTTTCACTAATTATTAGCAAGACTGCGCTAGTTCCCTCTGGGAAATGTCAAACTTGAGAGGTTTTAAATACAGTCTATTTGGATTTGCCTCCTGGCACTGAATTTCTGTATTAAGCTAAATACTATTGTATAGTTTACGTAAAGCAAGTTTTTCAAGTGTATAGTCTTGGTCTGTAATTCTGGAATGCTTTATAATCACCAGAAGCTATTATTTGCATTATACAAATCATCAGAATGGATAGCAATAAAATGTTAAGATCACTTTAAAGAAATCCTATCATCTTTCTAAAAATTCTTGAATCATATAGTAGTATTGCTAGTAACCAATTAAAGTCATATTTGTGCTGTGGTTAAGAGAAACAAAACAAAATGGGATAGGGATTGACTCCAATGTCAAATTGAGATCATTTATTAAAAGTTTAGAAATGTTATTCTTTATTTGCAACTTACGTCACATTTAAATATGTATTAAAACTGTAGTGTTTTTTAAAGGAGAGCTAAAATTCTGCACTGACTAAAGTGAAATAGTTGCTTTTAAAATTTTTAATTTAACCTGTTTCACACAGAATATCATATTTTAAGTAACTGTTTTCAGAAAAGGCCTTGGAAAACCTAGTTATATCCTGAGCTAATATTGCTAAAAGAAAGACTTTTTATGTAACACTGAGATACTTCTCAATTTGCAAGGTGGTAATAAGGAAGAAAATAGCTGTACTTTTCCCTATAAAGAGTAATAAATGAAAAGGGCTAATGAGTAAGCATCAGTATCTTGCTAATAGTTTACAACATGCTTTAAAATAGACATATGGCAATGTATATTTTTTAGGTCTACTGATTATGACATGGAATTTGTGACATGGAATAGAAAAATTCATTAATCAAACATGATTTCCTCTCAAAGCAAAAATAATTGTATTTTGGGGAGGAGGCATCACCACCACCACTTGGTGGCAGTTATCACCCAAAGTTTAGGATTAAGCTTTTATGAATGAATTGATAGGTAAGTCTAAACACCTAAAATTAGGGGGAAAAGGTAAATGTCATAGTGGAAAGTCATTTTGTGTCCCAGTTTTAATTCTTTTTAAAAGGAGGACACAGTATTAAAAGTTTAGGCATGTTCTTCCATCAGTTTGTGGTACAAAATGGGTAAAGGAAGTAATCCTGCTGATCAGTAGAAGGAAAAGTATAAGCTTAGATATGAGAATGTGAATTTCCTAAACAGGTCTGTTGAACATGTTCCTCCTGTAAGTTCCTAAGAGTTTGTTTGGAAAGTAGAAGCAGTCATTCTGAAGTTATGAAGTAATTTATGAGGGTGGGTGAAGAAATCAGTTTAAGACTTAAAACTCACATTGTTCTAATTTCTACTAATCTCTCCCTTGTTAGATATTAACATTTTTACTCGATATGTAGTTTTCTTGATGATGTATTTTGTAAGGTAAGAAGAGATACTATAACCTGAAGACAAAAGTTGTTTGGCTACAATGATGTGAAAATAGTAAATGAACTATTATATAAAACCATGGACTCAGGCATTCATTTATTCTGATTCTTTTATTTGAAGAATATTTCATAATTATTCAGGAATTTAACACTTTTGACCAGAGGAACTTACTGTTTATTGAAATTTTGCTTACCACTTACTTAGACTCTTGAGAGTCCCTTGGACTGCAAGGAGATCAAACCTGTCTGTCCTAAAGGAAATCAGTCCTGAATTAGAAGGACTGATGCTGAAGCTGAAGCTCCAATACTTTGGCCACCTGATGCAAAGAACTGACTCACTGGAAAAGACCCTGATGCCGGGAAAGACTGAAGGCAGGAGAAAGGGACAACAGAGGATGAGATGGTTGGATGGTATCACTGACTCGATGGACATGAGTTTGAGCAAGCTCCAGGAGTTGGTGATGGACAGGGAAGCCTGGCATGCTGCAGTCCATGGGATCGGAAAGAGTTGGACACAACTGAGTGACTGAACTGTGAGTGCTCAAAAGACAAAACTATTTGGTGTGAAAGACAAACCTTGTAAAAAAGGAAATAGTATATCACCAAAGATACCCTTTATTAAGATCTAAAGAAACATTTGAGGGCAGACTATTTGGCATGTTTTTAAAAAGCTGAGGAACAAATGCATACCATTCTCATTATTTAATATGTTTTTTAAGACTTGAGAAATTATGTATAAAGAGTGCTATTTGCTTGAGTTTTAGTCCATTTGAGTTTATCACCTCTTAGGATGAGAAATACTGCAAGAAAACTCAGAGGCAGAGCTTTTAAAAAATAGCCTTTAATGAAAAATACACAAATACTGAATCCCTGAAACATGATTTGTACATTCAGCAAATCTTGACCTTCCTTATGTAAAATAATCCTGTGTTTAATGTATGTGTATTTTTATTTATACAGACAATGAGACAAATCTATTTTACTTGACAGTAATATTTATGATGCTGACATCCTCATAGGGCTTATCTGTTTTGGGATTGACTTTGACATTGGAGATCCTTTGTACAACTTCCATTCCTTTAGTCACTCGTCCAAACACTGTGTGCTTATTATCAAGCCAAGGCTGTGTTGGAGGACAAACAGAAAATCTTGGTAAACCCTAAATTCTTAAATCACTTCCACTGGATGAGCAAATTACTTTAGGCATCATGTGCTCTGGCATCAGAGATAGGAGTTCAGACTCCGGCTCTGCTACTTACTTGACCTTTGGCAAGTTCATCAGGTCTCACTGTTTCCTCATCTATTTTTTAAAACTTGCTTCCCTGGTGGCTCAGAAGGTAAAGAATCTGCCTGCAATGCAGGAGACCCAGGAAAGATCCCCTGGAGAAGGAAATGGCAACCCACTCCGGTATTCCTGCCTGGAGAATCCCATGGATAGAG